AACCACACTGTCATCAATGCCGAGGGGCTCGCGGAGGTGGACCCGGAGGATCTCCTCCTCTTCATGAGGAGAACGGGTATCCGGTCCACCTTCTTCGACTTCCTCAGCTGACGGTGAGATCAGGGAGATGGCTGGTGAGGGTTCTCACTTTCAGAGAAGCTCTTTTCTCTGAAGGTTTGTAGAATAAATTCCCAAAAATCCTCCTTCTTCCTGATTTTCGGTTGAAAGATCTCGAGCAGACAAATCATGTCTAACATTCTTACTTAGGCCTTCACTTTTCAAAGTCTGCCATCAGGATTTTTGACCACACTGTTATTAATGTTGAGGAGCTCGCGGGGGTGGAACTGGAGGATCCTCTCCTTGTTAGGAGGAGAACGAGTGTCCGGTCCACCTTCTCCGATCTCTTCGGCGGACAGTGAGATCAGGGAGACGGCTGGTGGGGGTTCTCATCTTCAGAGAATTTCATCTCTGAAGGTTTGTAGAATAAATCCTAAATCACCCCCATCTTCCTGTATTAGCGGTCAAACTGGTCCTTTTGAGCAGATTTTACAAGTACATTTCACTTATTATGCAAAATCTAAGGCAGCTTCTGAAACTTCCCTTATTTAACATCAATCATCAAACGACGAGATATAGGGAGCGAAACAAGAAGGGGTGTATAATCCTATATTCTTAATCGCTTTAGTGCACTGGTTAGTGCACTCCCTACTCTGATGATGATGATGAATCAATATAGAAGATCAGCAAATATTTGTAACTTCTTTTTTCTTTCTTAAAAATCTTTATCGAGGTGCAAAAGTTTTTGTTTGTTTTATGTCGGGTATGAGTGGTTTTATATTTATGTTGTTGTTGAAGATGTTCTTGTTGAGGATAGCTTTTCCGGAAGATGTGTACTCAGTTTTTTGTTATGTTTATTCGCCTTCATGTTTTCGTTTCTTGCCTCGAGCTGGAGATTCAGCTATTCAAGAGAAAGAAGAAGGTATTGAATACATTTCAAACTTTTCTGACGCTGGTTTAGAATGGAAAATCATTATTTTTCATATTGCTGATGACAAGGCTGATAAAGTTATTGTAATCAACAAATAATAAGACGAGAATTTGTCTCTTCATTAGCTGAATATGAAGACAAACTAACGATGTCTTATTATTAGTTAAATAAAGTACTTTTGAGTGTCATCAACATCACATAAAGTGTGGAAAATGACAAAGCATTGAAAAATAAAACACAGAAAGAAAATAAATCCAATCTGCACCAGCATCGTGAAAAATTATTAAAAATTTCTTACCTTCACCATCATCACCATCACCAGCAGCGCCCACTTTCTCAGCTGTTTCATCAGCATCTTCTATAAATAAATAAACAAAAGATAAATTTTAAGAAGTCAAAGATTTTAAAAATCTTTTTCTTACCATCTGAATCGATGTCGTCTTCATCCTCATCTTCTCCAGCTTCATTCCAATCGGAATTATCTTCTTCGAGATCTTCATTGTACACTAAAGAAATGAATTATTAATTTTATTTTTTCGTTACATAAATGTGCTGGTCATTTACCATCTTTCAATCCTGGCTCATCATCTTCTTCATCATCGTCATCTTCCTCAAACTCTTCCTCTTCGACTCCATCTTCGTCTTCTGAAACAAATGATTGGATTATAATCTCAAGTTCATGCTTCTAATTACATAAATATTTCACTAACTTTGTGCCATTGGCTTGTAATGAATTTGATTGAGAATAGAAAATATGCTCATAATAACAAGGAAGATGCTCGCAAGTGATGGCTGGTGAGATGATGTTTGAAGAGTTTCTTCTTGCTTCTTATCACTGATTTTTAAAGACTTTTCAAACTCTTTTTCTAACTTATCACAATCGGACGAAGTCGAAGCTTCGCTGGAAGCTAAAGCCAACTTTTTTGCTGCTACACGCTGCTCCAATTCTTCAAGCTCCTTCAAATCAATCTCAATACCATTCACACAAAAAGCATCGGGAACTTCACATTCATAATCCAAGCCAAGGATATTTATGACACAAAATTAGTGAATTTTACTTCACACACAATATTTAACTCACCATCGTCTTCCGATTCATTTCCATTGATCTCGTCATCGTCATCTGATGGACCTTCATTATCATCCTTATCAAAACCGTCTAAAAATTTTAGTGACGGTATCAATTGGAGTACATTGTTTCTGTAGTTCTCAGCTGTTGTGACCTCATTGTTAAACAAATCAAGAACTTCCAACTTTTCCATGCTCGCCAATGGTTTGAGCTCATCGAAATCCTTAATCTTGTTGCCCGATAAATTCAGTGATGTTAGTTTCGGGCTGGTCAATAAATGATTCAATCCATTTGAAATTCTAAAGAAAGAAAAATTGTTATCAACATAATAAAATTTAATTAATTTTGTTTAACTCACCTGTTATCAGATAATTCTAACTTTTTAAGGCTTGGCAATTTGGGAAAGTTCTTGAGGGATGTGAGTCCAACATTGATCAAACTGAGTTTCTCCAATGCTGTGAATTCATCGGTCAAGCCTTCAATTGCAGTACTGCGGCAGTTATCCAAATTGAGCTCTTTGATCTGGAAACAGAAAATCGTTAAAAATTTAGTGCACGCTTTGAAATTTGAATTTCTTTTTTCGACAATCAACGATGAGAGGAATGTTTGATAGGAGTTGTAATCTTTATGTCGGACTTAGAAGCAACACATGAAACACTTTGTGTTCATACACAACTTTTAATGGCTCTCTCTCACAATTTACTCTCGCAATAAGCGAAGGAAAATATATCGTCGAGCGTTTTACACCAACAGGCGAATAGTAGCATCTTTGCTTTTCATTCAACACAAGGTTTAACTCGCTCGGCTCCCTCGCTCGATTTTTTCTTCTCCTCCATGACCATTCTCAACAAAAATGGATGAAACAATTTTTTTCTGCTTGTGTCGTCGTGAGAAAAATGGAAAGAAGTTGAAAGCGATTATTACGCCTTAAAGCTACTGAAAACTTCTCGAGAAGGATGTAAATCGTTAGAAAAATGATTGGAAAGTGCTCTGAGAAGGGTTTTGGTTGACGTGCTGTTAGTTAAAGTGCATTTTAAGCGTGATGAAAAAATATAAAAAAAGCCTTTTCTCTATGACTGCCATACAATGGTTATGAAATCGATGGGTTGAATGAATGTGAGAGGAGAGGGCACAACAACAACAATTTCTACGACTTATTTTTTATTATTATTTTTTTTAGAAAAACATGGCTTCCCCATTTTTTAAAGTTTTTCTCATCACAAATTGAAATGAATTTTTTTTCGATTTTTGGATGAGGAACACGAAATATGAAAGAAATGCTCTAAAAGATGTTACCGAAAGGGAAAGTCCCAATGCGTTTGAGGAGAAAAGTGCCAAAGGGAAAAAGGGAAATTTGTTGCGTGAAAACGTCTTTGTTATGTGCCGTGCGAGCACGATGGAAAAATGCCGCGCGTTGCATTTACTTAACAACCAATTCTTGATTTCGATAGAATGAACTTATTTCTTTCGAAGAAAAAAGGCAATTTGAAAATGATGCTGAAGAATTTTAGAAGTTTCATTTGCACAACAAGCGATAAAAATGCCAATTAAAAGAAAACGTTAACGACAACGCAATCAATTTTTCATGAAAGTCCTTGAGAAAGTCTAGTAGGACAGTGGGCTTGGGATAGTGCAGAAAACAAAAGTATTTGTTAAGAAGAAAATATAAAGCGAAGCTGCTTTCGCGGTAACATGTTTTTATCAAAGCGTTTTTTCATTGCCTTTTGTTGATTATTCAATTTTTCTTGCAATTGAATTTTCTTGAAATTACTGCATACTTTCACATCATAAGCTCTTAAAAACACAAAAAACAATGAATGAATGCATGTTGTCAAGTCAACAAAAGGTTTTACAGTGAATTTTTAGTAATTCATCGGAAATTTTATAAATGGCAACACAATCTCACCTGATTGGCTTCACGGCCTCGTTTTTCCAACAAAATTCGCTTTTCCATCGCAGATTTTTCACTTATTCCACTGTTTTCTAAAATTATTCACGTTTATAATATATATTTCTTAACTTATTACTTGTTTTCCGATCCTTTTCGATAGCTTTTCGTTTCAAGTCAACAGTGAGTGAGTGTCGAAAAAGGGGTTAATAATTAGAATCACATTAAAATGAAACCATTGAAATTTTTTATTCAGGAATGAAAATAATCATGAACATATTAAATTGTTTCACTTTTAAAACAGATTGTTAAAAATGAATTCTAATTAAGAGATTATATTAGATAAAACATTTACAGCTGATAGTTGAGTTTTTAGCCCTTAAATTTAAATATTCTTCGACCGTTGAAAACTGTTAAAGTAGGAAACAGAATTGAAAATATAAAAATTAAATAGTTTTTCTATTGTGAGATAGCGAAAGATTTTCATAATTTGTTAAAGCAACGTAAACTATCCTGTATCTGCAAGATTTTTGAACTAATTTATGTGAATTATAATCGATTATTAAAAATATTTAAATTTCTAGTAACGTAACAATACTTTCGAAATCAGTTAATCCTTAGTCGTTGATGAATCTTCATGAAAGAGAAATAAAATGAATTGTCATCTTATGAAGATATTTCAAACCTTTCGCTTTCAATCTTATTAAATAAATATTCAATCTCTTACTTTTCATATCTTAAGAGACTCTTAAAGCATAATTTTACTAAATAACAATATAAATTTCAATTTCTGAACATTGTGTAATTTTTCGTCGAATATCTGATTATTTTGGCGCTATTTTTTTTTCTAAGTCATCGTTAAATTTGATTTTTGAATAATTTAATTCATTCATTATCAACGTAAACAAAGTGAAGAATCTAAAAACGTTTATTAAATTGATGAATTGCTTTCTAAAGTATGGAACATAATGTGAAACCGACTTTCGCCATGATAGCAAATCGACAATCTCATATTTTTAAGAGAGAGAGCAATTCAACAAACACTTTCTTACCTTCTCACACTATTGCAATATCTGGTAGTGTTGGAAGGAACTGTTATAATTTTCACTTCCTTTCAAATTATAACAATAAATTTAACGGTTCCTGAAAATAAACATTTTTCATTTAAATATCTAAAAGCAATGTTATCAAAATAAAGATAAAGAGAAAGACAGAATCTTAAATTTTTAATAAATCTTTCTATTTTATTTAGATATATAACAACGATATCATCTTTATATCATACTATTTTTTATCCAGTAAGGTTTCAAAAGGAAAACAATATTATTTCCATTTCCCGCTTCTCACGATATAATAATAATGGCTTCTAAGTAACAACTTTTCTTGCTTAAAGTTCATTTAATTTCTAAACATTTCGAGCATTTATTTTAACTGTGACGAGGAGAAAAGACGAAAGTAAACTGCTTGATTTTATTTTTATTCTTTATTAATTGACGATTTTATCGATTTCCAATCGTCTGCTATAAATTCAGATGATTTATTATTTTCTGTCGAAAGCTTTCAAAGTTTAAATCCGTTTCCTTAAATCGTTTATTTCAGCTTATCAATCAAGCAAATTAATATTTCGCTTATTTTCGCCATCGTTTCATTGCTTACATATCAAGCGCAAGTTTTGAACTGAAAATTTGTATTAAGTAAAATTCAAAGCGTGAATTTCATCGCTTGAGGCTCAGAAAAATTTTCAAAAGATTTAAACGAGTTACTTATAGTCAAACTTCAAGGACTTCATTGCTGGTATGTTTCATTAAAGGAGATATTTTAAATAGGACTTGCACAGTGAATGAAAGCTTTTACCTAATTTAATAAAAACGCTTCACTTCTTGAAAAACATTTTAAAATCTGCAAACAATCGAAGAGAAAGTAAAAAATATTCAAGATAGCATTTGGATAGGATTCCGAGGACTTACTCGAAAAACGAAATGCCCTGGCAAATATCTCCATGTGATTTTTTTTCAACCTACACAAATATTTCTTTTTGTATAACTTTTCACATTCAAGGAAATCTTTTAAGCTACTAGAATTTGAAATTTTTCATTTTTTTACTCACATACATATCTCGAATGAAAACTTTTTTCTCGCGTGGGAGGAAACTCAATAATTCTCATACGTGTAATTAGATTACAAAGCAAATAAATTGAGTGCAGAGAATTTGAAAATGTTCAAATGAAAGTGAGAAGAAATTTTAAAAGAAATCTAAATCCTTTTATGAGATTTGAAACACTTTCATAGAATTGAATTGAAATTTAAATTTTATTCTATGCCAATATAAAACTTTTCTATCCCTTACATTATCCAAGTTCATTCAAAATGTAAAGCTTTCTTTATAACTAAGTCAAAAGCATTGAAAGTTTGTGTAAAACCTCAAGAAAAACCTTATACGACTTGAGCAAATATATCGATCAATGACACTCCTACATTATTCTTCGATGATGTTTAATCACAGTCAGCATAAGGAATCAAGATTGTTGACGATTTAAAATAAATAATAGCTCAGTTTGCATGTTTTCAGATTTTCGTTTCGCTTTTAATAGCTAAACGACAATTTTATGATGCTGAGCATTGTCGCAGATGATGTCACCACTAAGTGATTTTTATTTGGCGTTGGGCGAGAAAATATTTTGAAGGTCTGAAACAGCATGAAATCCTCTCATTCTAGATGAACATAATCAACTTCGACAGTATTTTCCACTTACTAAAACACCATCGAATACTAACAAATGATGGCATGAGATTTTCATTTTTTCATTTTCGTACATTGCTACTACATTAAAATCATAATCCAATTTACATCATCATGGTTTAACATCTCTTTAATTCAATCACATTTTGTGCTAATCTAAATAAAAACAATTAAAACAACAACAAAATTGTGAAATTATTTTTCACTTTTTTATATTTTCATCCTGTTTAATTATAAGTTGGTTTAAATTGACAAACATCGAGAATAACTCCCTACGTTGATGAAAGCTTTCGATGAGATTTCAAATATATTAAAGAAATCTTTTACTTTCTTTTAAGTATCTAATTACTCTGCGCTTTAGAATTGTTTTTCAAAAAATTTAATTTACTTCTCATTCGTTTGCTCTTTTACTGAGTTATAAAAATAGCTTTTATGGGTTTAGATATTGCGCTTTAGAAAATAATCTCTGATTCTTTATTTTGATTCTTTGTGTTACAAACTTTAGTTTGTAATTTAATTTAACATCCTCTCCTACTTCATATTTACTTTTTTTTGCATTCTATTTAAACTATTGGATATTTAATTTAATTATTGAAAATTTATTGATTTTTCTTTATTTTTATTTCTTGAGCTGTGAGTGACGTTTTCTTGATGCGCGTATATGCAAATACTTATTAGCGTTTTAATTAATTCCAAATACTAGCGATTTTCTTATTCATTCTGTTTAAGTATCGTAAGTTTCATAAATACCGAAATAACAAGTATAAAGTTATTAATTTAATTAATTTTCTTTTTCATCTTCTTAACTTTTCATAATTTAAATTTCATATTCACTTCGTATTTTGTTTTATTTTATCCTTCGTGTTTTAAGAATTTGTCGAATGTGCTTTCAAAGACATTTTTACGAATGTTTGAAAAAAAACCATCTCTAAAGCTGGTGAAAAGCTGAGAATGCTGACAGCGGTGGAAAAAGTTAAATTCTGCATTTTAATAAAATCAATGTTCGATGTGGATGTTAAAGTTTTACGCTTAAATACACCCACAAGTCATCATTTCATTTTAAATTCACTTCCTTTCCGACTTCTTTTTCTCTTGCACTTCTCACTTCACTTTTACTGCAGCACGTAATACAATTTTTCAATTAGATTAATAGTAAACTCTCGAATTGTAAAATAATCTGCTATGGAACAAAGTCTCCTTGTAGCATTTTTAACTTCGGATGATGTGTTGGAGATGAAGTTATTGGTGGCGGTTCAGTGAAGTTTGCAGCCATTTTCGCACGGTTCAATGAATCTTGTAGCAAACGTTCGTTTTCCTGGCGCACTGCAAACGACAAAAAAGAAAAGAGAATAAATTTCATTATTTCTTTAATCAACAAGTTTTTGAACTCTTATTGAAAGAAGAATTTTCCATAGAGAATAAAAGCAAATGTTGTAGATAGATGGGAATGGTGAAGAGATCTATTCAAACGATGCAATTTTATTTTATGTTGATGTAAAATAAATTCAGCAAAGACAGAAATATAAATTTATGTTGTCTTAACATTTTCTTCTATTCGAATCGTTTGACAACGACAATGTATGATTTAATTTATTTCCTGTTCTTCTTCTTCAAATTATATTTTCAATAGTAAGTACGGAAAATGAAAAGCGATGTCTAGAATTGCCAATATAGCGATCCTAAACTTTTTGAATGTACCATGATCCTGTCACGAACTGCTGTCGAGTCATGTATCAAATAAATAAAACCAATGGCAGAAATATCAGCTTATTGGAATTTAATGTCGAATTTCCTACTTTCAATATAGATTTATTTTTTTTATTCCTTAAAAACTTGAAATGTGAGTTGTAAAGAAGTGAAAGAAGAAAACTCTTTGATTCATGAGAGTCCGAAGAAATCTGGGCGAAAGGTTGAAGTAATCTCGAGCATTTTTTTTTTCTTCGAGAGTGTTCAAAAAGAATTTATCTACGTTGAACATTAGTAGGAGGCATGGAATACCACATAAATACTTAGTTATTCGTCATTCGAGACAAGAATTCTGAATTTTCGTGCCTTCAGTTTTATGACAATCATGACAATGGCGTCGTTGTTTTCGCTTTACTTTTACGATTCTCCATTTACGCTTCCAAAGAACGAAAGTTAAACCAAATTGTATCACAATTCACTGCTTAAGTAACAACAACGTGTCGACGCAAAAAAGCTTCCAATTCCCAAATATTTATTTTAATGGGGTTTTAATTTATTCCAAAATGTAAACAATTAAATTAAAAGGATGGAAGGAAAAGCGGCAGCTTTAGTCTTGAAAGTTGATATTCTGAATTCAATTTCAACGATAGAAAATTAATAATGAAAAAGTGAGAAAATGACGGCAGCTTTTCAATATTAAATTAATATTTATTACATTGCAACAGCACCGCGAAATATTTCAATAAGCGTAACAATAATTCATTTCTCTACCACAGACGACGAATAAACGCCTACATTAATCTTACTTGTCTAAAGCTTCAACGGCAATTCATTAGAAAGAAAAATGTAAAAATAACAAAGAAAGTTTAAATATTTATAAATAATCGCAATTTTCTTATTTCCTTTTCGGCTAATTAAGAAATCTTCACTCTAATTGAGATCCATTTAGTAATCTGTTTTTATGCTATCAACTTCTGTAGGAAATCATAAGAAAATAATAAACAATTTATGATCTGTTTTTATAGGTCTTCGAGAAATCTTCTAATAAGCAAAGGGAGGAATTGATTATGATTGGAATGAATAAATCTTTCATGAAGAATAAATCAATTTGTGTGAAGGAATTTCTTGTGATGGCCGCCCTTTGAAAGCTCTTGAAAGAAAGAAGCGAAGAACATTATTGTGTGAAGCTCTAAATTTCCCATTAACGATAATGTCATAGAACGACACTTCTGTTATGTCACGAGTACTTCAATCAATAAAAAAAGAACTTGAAGCGTTTACTCAACAGTCATGTAGAAATATACATGAACTTTGTAACATAACCGAAGACTACATCTTGAGCCAAAATTGAACACTTAGAGCTTTGGAATTTGACACGTGTGAGTTGTTTAGTAATTTCATTTTCCCTCCCGCATTTCATAAATATCGCTCAGATAAGCTCGATTGTCGTTTAAGTTGAATGAGCAGATAATAAGATTCATAATAATAAAAGACGAGTCGTTATCAAATATTCAAGTTTTATGATCCGAAAATTAAGTTTTATTCTTAAAAATTGTCAACGGAAGACAATGTTGATGAGTTCATCTTTTGCAATTCCAGAAAACAGAAATTTTCTCATTCTTCTCAGTAGAAACAAATTATTTTCCAGTTAAATCTTTAAAACATGAAAGCGAACAAACACAAACTTCCATTGCATTTCATCACAAAAGTAATTAGTTTCAGTGATATTTTCATTTGTAAGCAATTTTGTATGAGAGAAATGCTGACAGCAACATATTTAACAAAATTTTTGAATGCTATCATGCAACAGAATATTTACTTAGTTACGTTGTGGAAATCTTGTGTATGCAAATCAGAGGAGATTTGTTTGCTTTAAAAGAAGTTGGAATTGAAATGAAAATATTTGTCAATAGGAATCTCGAATATTTTCATACATTTTAAGCTATCGAAACACAACAGAAGAATATTTCTTAAAAGTACAACCGATGACAACATTCCTTTCGTCTTCTTGTCGTGTAAAGGATTTTAATAGAATGCTAACAATGTCCTAAATGTATCATTAAATTATAAACGAGTAGAAAGAATTTAAGATATGACATGAAAGACATGCTTGAGACCTTTACAAAATTGTCTACTTAAAAGATGTCCCTGTCACGTCTTAGGACATTTCACTTTAACCATAAGACTCGACAGCAAATATAAATTATTATTAACTGCATTTGACACGTCGGTCACAACTGACAGGAAATTAAAAATTTCACATTAGAAACTTTTATGTGTTTGTTAAGAAAAGGCTGAATAAATTATTGTTGACATTATTGACATCTATTCAGCCTTCATGTTACCAACATCTACAAAAGCATGCAAAATCAAGATAAATGAAACATAAATTTTCGTGTACCTTTTGAGTGAAATATTTACGAATATTTTCCAGATAAAGAAAATATGAAATGCGCTAATCATCCAAATGTTATCAATGTGCAGCCAGTCTAAGAGTCTATAAAGCATGATTTCCAGTTTTTTGTTTGTTTATCGAAATGCTTAGCATGATAATTTATGCAATGAGTAAAGATGCACACACGCACATATCAAGTGTCTTAAAAACACGCATACATTAATTAATTTATTATTATTTTATGTTTTAATTATCATGGCACTTTTTTCTTTAGTTTTGAATATTTTCTCCTTCTTCTTCTTTTGGTTTATCAATATTAAATGTTTCGTTTGTTAATAGTATAAGTTGCTTCTACAAAATTCGTTATTGGTTTCATGATGATAAAATATTGAAATGTTCTGTCACAAATGAATTGTATTTATTATGATAAAGAAACATCTGTTGATCTTGTATTTTTGATGCTGAAATGTTGTCTTCGGTGTGATGAAAAATAAATGAAATGTCAAAGCAACATCGCTTGATGAAAGCTACTACTAACTGAATATTATAGGTCAGTTACCCCCGCTTCCGCCTCCCACAGGATAATGAATAGGACGTGAATCACGAGCAAATGTGTAAACTTGTCGCGTTTGATTTTGCACATGTGACACTTGAACATGATGAGTCAGTGTCACGATAACAGCCAATACAGCAAACAACGCGAGACTTAGAAAAACGATCATCACAATGCAAACAATTCGCTTGCGTTTCGTAATCGATTGCGATTCGAAGTCATCATCGCCTTTTTGTCCTAACGATGACGAGCTTTTTTTTCGACGATATTTTTCACGACGATTTGCAGATTTCTGCTGAGCCCTGTATGATTTATAAATTGTGTTAAAGTCAAGTGTACCGAACTCGATGGGAAAGTTTCCTGGATTCGGTGGCAAAAGATCAGCACCGTCTCCACTACGACGCTTCATTTCTTCCAATATTATACTCCCACGCACTGGAAGTGGGGAAATAAGCGGTGAATGATGCTTCTTTATGGATCCACTGGCACTTAAACCAGCTGGACTAAGATTAGGACTCATGCCAAATGGCACATCTAATGGATCTTTGTCGGTTATAAAGCTCTTGGATTTTCTTGATTTGAACAATTCACGGTTCTCCTTACTTGTCCCGGGACCGTTCTTATATTTTAAACTATACGATTTTTTCATATCAAAAACAGGCGATTTAACTTGGTAAACATTATCAAAAGACTTATCTAAAGCTAGCAGCGGGATCGGTGCTAAAAACTGTGGATTTAAAGCCGCCACTGTATGTTGATGTCGAAGCATTTTTGCTGTCGTTCCCGTATTCATTAAAGCTCTTGGACTAACCGAACCTTGACTCAAAACCTGATCCAAACTATTCGAGCTTGATGGACGTGGACTGTTCGAAGTCTTGCGAAAATGTGATGATGATGGTGACGGCATTGGTGAAGGCTTCCACACGTCCAAATACTGCAATTGTTCATCAAAACACTGAGAATTACTCCGACTGTTGCTTCTTGATCGATACAATTCACTTTCAATCGATGAATGTTTCATCTGCGATGGTGGCGGTTGAAATTGCATTGATGAATGTTGTTGTTGATACATTAAATGTGATGCAACTGGTTGTTGTTGTTCATCACTGCTGAATGAATTGCTTTTGACAGCTGCGTCACGTTTATTTTGCGGCATACGTTTCTGCGATGGATCGTGAAATGAACGATGCATCGAACAATTACGGCGTGATGAAGAAGAATTTCTTGACAATGCCTCTTGTTGTTGATGTGGGTGGTGAACAGACTGAAATGAAGATGTTGGATAGACAGTCGTTGGACGATGACGTACACTGTAATGACGAGATAATGGCACGATTTGAACAGTGTCATCACCAGCAGCTGAATGAAATGACGAATTTTTTCGAAGATGTTGCAATGATGTGGACGTTGTGGATGGCAAATCCATCATGTCGATTGTTTCACCACGACGAAAGCTGCTTGATTTTCTCAACACGGGTGGTGGCGGTGGATAATCATTATCCATGCTATTCGACATGCACACCGAACTGTCCATGCTGTTAGAACTCTGACTGTGAGCCTTAAAAATTTCTTCATTTATGTTAGGTGAAGATCGTCGTGATGATGACAGCGGTTGATCCATATTTATTACCAACGGGCCCGCATTTTTTGCTGATAATGCCGCTGATGTAAGCGGGGTGTAGTTATCAACAATCATAGACACTGTGCGATCAACTGATTTGAGCTTTGGTGGTCGTCTTCTTTGATATCCGCTACCCGTTGACGGTCCCGCGCCGTGCAATTCTACTGTCGTTATATCCATCATTAAAGTATTCTTTCTTATGATTGATCTTTTAGTATAAAAATCCAAGTAGATTTAACTCAATGCTCAAGTTATTCAAATTCGTTATGGAAGACTATAAATTCGTACAATTTTCCGTTCTATTCAAGACGAACAAAGAAATCTTCTTTTTTCAAAGCTTTTCTCGGAACAAGGAAAATCCTTCAAGGAGCTTTTCTCCTTCTCACTTTTCCTTCTTCTCACACTCACTGTCTGTCTTTACAAAGTTATTATTGTCATTATTTCTGATTTCTCCTTGTCAATCATTTATCATTTTCAAATACGTCTTTTAAGCCTATCGAGACAACTTGATTTTGTACACAAATTTTTTCAATATTTTCTCTTGATTTTTGTTCCTTTTTTTTTGTTATTTATTCAGCCATTTGCTTCTATCTCAATGTATCATCATCATCACTGAAGTTAAGAAATCATCTGCGATTATGAGAATGGAATGAAATTTGTTTACTTAAAAATAATTCTTTGTTTGAAAGTAAACACATCATCATTTCACGGTGCTTGAAGTTGTGAATCTTTATCAGAAAAGATTAAAATATGAACGTTAGAAGCTTACAAAATGCTTGAAGTTATTCATTCGTCAGTTGAAAAGGTTTTTTCTTACTTTATCTTATAATCCGAAAATGTTTTTCATGTAACTTTAGGTTAATCTTAACGAACGTTATTTTCAATCAACATCAAATGATAATAATATGAAAATCATCTTATGTTGCTTACATTATGTGAGACATAAAGACTCGAAAACTTTATTCAGTAAATAAATCTTGTAGAGCAGTTAATGACACGAACGAGACAACTTAGAGTACGACTTCGATATAGAATATCGAGGGAAGAGTGGAAAACTAAACAATAAACTCATTAAATTTACAGATCGTTTATCTTTCAACAAAAAAAAATAAAAATAAAATTCATCTTGTTCCACTCTCTGACATAAGACGCTTAGTATGAGATTTTCTCTGAAACGTTGTCATGCATCTATGAGTTGTTGAACGAGAAAACTTTCCTTTCTATTTTTGATAAGACTTCCCTTTGAGTCTCATAATGATAATAAATTAGTTTCCCATTATTCGTTCCTACCACTCGACTAATGCCAATGGGTAGAAAATCATCTTTTGTGCTTGTCTTCTCCTAAGCATTTCTTTTTTTTTATTTTGTTGATTCAACTTTTCTTTTCTTCATTGCTACTTAATGCAGCCTACGAAAAAGACGATGGAAAGAGAAAAAAAAACTTGACAGGAAATGTTTTCTTTCTCTTTTTTTTGCTATCTTGACATTTTTCCTTCACTTTTTGCTCTGTTTTTTGACATGTCATTCTTTAAAATTAGAGTTTCCTTGCGTTCCTATTGACAGAGCGTTAAAATGAAGCCAGTGAACCCAACAATACTCTAAGACAACATCCGTTGACTGTTGATCATCATGAAGACATTCTACAGAATTTTTCTCCATGTCAACATTATAATTTATGGTGAAAAGAGAGAAAACCCAAATTTTGACCTCAAAATTTGAGTCTGACAAAGAAGATTTTATTTTCTGAAGAAAAGAAATGCTTTGATGATCTTTTTTTTCCTCTAAGCCTCAAAGCAACAATGGAAACTGAACTTTCATCTTGCCTGAAAGGTCATCCGAAAAACATTCCTCTTTTTACATAATTCTCAGAAAGCACCTCAGGATTTCTACGTTTACAACTCCTACTTTTAACATTTGAAAGTTACTGAACCAACACATTCCATTTTGTAATTTTTCCAACCCACTCATGATACCATACAATCCCTACCGCCTTATCGTCCTTTAATGTCAAGCTTTCATGTTGAACAAATTTAAAATAATCTTGTTCACATCACACACGACCATCTGACGCTTCATTTTAATGAATTCACAATTTATAAGCAACAGTCACGCTTTAAAATTTACCCAAAATAAAGAGAAAATTTCACTGTAAGGATTTTAGATTTTTCTCAATGAAATTAATGCTTTGCCGTCAACAAGTGGTCAATGAATCTTTCATCACAATTATTGTCGTTATCAAATTATGATTATAAATGCAAATTCAGTATTAATTAACACCTTTTAAGTTAGTCTAGTTTTTTCTTTTCCCTTAAGACAGCTAAACAAGATTAAAGATTAACATTTGAATCTTTCAGCAAACGATTTTATTAAATTAAAAATTTATCGTCAAGCTTATGAGGCATCAAAAATACATTAAAAGCACAGTTCGTCTTAAGATTTTCGTTAATCCTCTGTCATGATAAATTAATGAGCGCAGATAGTGTTTCTCAAAATCCCTGTTTTTTGAAAAACAGGGATCAGGGATCGATGATTTTCTACTAGATATCGACTTTTTTTAAAAGAAAAAACTGCATTAACGTAATGTTCTGACATAGAAAACACTAAACAATCCATCTTTATAGGAAAAATTAAGCGATTTCTAGTAGAAATTTGACGATTTCTTTTTCCCTATTCCCTAAAAATAGGGATTTTGAGAAACACTAAGCGCAGATCAAAGGCAAAACTTGCTAATTATTTTATTCCCTTATTTAGTATGTACATGTTTGTGTGTATTTGAGTGTGTGTTTGGCTTTAAGCAGTTAAACTTGTTAATTAACCATTAACTTCACCTTCTTTAACCCATTTATGAAAATGAAACTGAGAGAGAAAGCTCCAACGATAAATAAGTAAGTTAATTGTAAACGCAGGTAGCAAAATTATCCCAAAATTTGCTTTGCTGCTTTTTGAAGTTCATTGAAAAGATTTTTGTCAAGGAAAGAAAGTCAAAATAATTAACAAAGATGTCAGAGATATCTAAATAAGTTTTACTTTAATGTCAACTGAAACATACTTTCCATCCGAGAAACTCTCAACTTTTCCCTTAATGGTAATAAAGCTAACAACGCTTTGACTCGAATAGAAGCTTCGTTCACTTCTAGATGTTCATTCCAACAAACTTTCATGTAATTCGAAAGAAATTTGTTTTTTTATTTTCGGTGTAATTTCTAATTACAGATGACAACATATTTGTTGAGTGCGAAGCATTTATTACAACATCTAACGAGCGCAGCAACAGACGAAAAACATTTAAAGATTTTAAGCGTTTTAGTATTTAATTTAATTTGTTTTCACAAATTCTTTTATAATACCATTGCAGCAAATGTTTTGTGCTTTTGTCGCGTGGAATTTAATTAATTTTTCTCTGTTTGGAAGTGAACTTATCTCGACATTTGCTTTTTATTTTGTCTGGAGACAATTTTTCTCTCGAGAGATTTTTTTCTTCTTCTAAATCACAACAACATTTGTAAACTTTTCATTCGACTCATGTGCGATTTATGACATTTAAGATCTTTTAAAAGCATCATGAAAAGTTTTCGGTAACCGGCCACAAATCGTGCTCCATTGAACAGCTGTTTCTGAAAAGCTTTCAGTGGTAATCCAATGTAGGAGTTTCATTTTTATTTTACCAAAACAATAACAAATTTAATGGTGTGGTAGAAATATCCTCACGAATTTTTTTTACTGTCCATTTTGCTTACATACAAAGCGATCAGTAAACGAAATTTAATCTTTTCAAGTTAACGTTGGCTTTGCTTTCGGGATATTTTTTCTTTTAAACATGAAAAATGAGAAGATTTTCAGGCAATTGCAATGTTCGCAGTAAAAAAATAAAGTTTAAGCAAACAAGAAGAAAAAGGTTGAAATTGTAACAAAAGAAGAGAAAGAATCAAAAAGCACATTGGAGAAATTAATAATCAATCACAAAAAATTGTTTCGTTTCAGAATTTTTTATTAAATTTTTAATATTTTCATTCTGTGACTCCTTAAAGTCGAATGTTAAGCAGACACGTTCGAATGGTGTTTAAATAAAAATGATTAATGCGAAATGAAATCCTTGGGATGGAAATTGTAAAGGATTTCCCAAAGGCGTACTGAAAACTTTAAACTTCCTGCCATTTAAAGTTTACATCCTATTCAAACATTTATTTCTTTAATTGCATTTGCTAACATTCATTAAATGTTGTTGTCAAATTTATCGAGCATTGCAATTCATTAAAATAATCGATTTTAAGCTTTCATGATGGCTTCGAAGGTAAAACATTTTGAATTCAACAAGCATAGCAAAAAATAATTAATGGAGTATTTTAGAGAGCAGGAAAAAAGAAGAAACAAAGATTAGAGAGTTCTTTCTGTTGACATTTCCTTGAGATTAAAAAAAAAAGGAGGATTTCCAAAGTCACCGTCACTTTACTTCCTACGTTCCTGTCTAAATTCTTTTATGTGGCTGTTCTTTGCGCATTTTAAACGAGAGAAATTCTTCACAATAAAATAATTAAAAAGCGTGCATGGGACAACGAACAAACAATGAAAGGACGATGAAAACCTTTTTCGCCAGAAATTCATACCGCAGCTTCCCCTTTTCTGCTGTTTTGATCAACTAAAGGATAAAATTGATGATAAAATTGTGAATGAACTAAAAAGATTAATTCTCGGTTCTACCTTTGCAAAGCTTTGCAGAATAAAAAAAAGAGTAAAGAGTATCTTGCTCAAACATTTACACGTAAACAAAAGCTGTGGGGGGTGCTGTGAAAATGAGAAGCTAGAAATCTCCTAGGAAAATTTCTCAACCCTTGACAAGATAAAATCCTTGTTGTACGTTTATGTCGCAGCTATAAGAGAAATTAAAATTGTGAAGATTATTTTTCAAAAAGTAAATAATACAGTCTTGTGAAGTGAATTAGAAGCGTTGGATCGTTGGGAAGTTTAATTAAAAAAAATACAAAAACAAAGAACAATATAAAAGTTTATGTTGAAATTAATAAGCTTTTTCCTTTTCTTCTTTAGTCTAGCAACATAATATTTCTTCTATTCACATCCTCGCTCCTAACAGTCAATTCTGGAACACAGCAGAGAAATAAATTTAGATGAATCAAGTTAAAAAATTGTTGGAAACGCGTGGAAAATTCATTTTCACTTCATGAGTGTTTTTTATGCATCGTAAACAGCGTCATGCTTCGCATATATTTGGAGTTGAGGAAACAACTTGACTTCCATCATAAATACGTGGGAGTTTAATATAAAAGCCAATGATGGTTGAGTGTGTGGGCTTAATTTACAATCCCTTTTCACAAGTATCAAACAACATTTGATGGGAAAGTCAGTCTTAAATCTGAAGATGGATTCTCCTTAAAATTCTAATTTAAAGTAGTTCCGCTTTGTAAAATATTGTAACATTAATATTCTTGAAGCTTCCGCTCTTCTATAAAATTTCGATTGTTCCACTTCAATCAACGTCAAAGAATTCCACGGATATTACTGTTATGAAGCATTTCGTTTTCAGCCAAAAAGTATAGCAAGAACACAATCATTAACTTCCTTTTGTCAAAGACGTTTCAATAATCTTCTCGCAAGCGATGATACTAAGCAAATTTCATAATAAGAAAAAATGAAAACGAAAGGAATTCAGCTCAAAATATTTTTCAAGCACTTCGTTAATGAAACCAACAACAAACACTCAAATTCACTTTCGTGAATTTTCAATTAATAGAAATGTCTTTTATGACCAACAATTGAGGTTCATTAAAAAGAAAGAAATTGAAAAACATTTATTTCGTAAATTGACTCTGGTTAGCGATTTGAGTGAAGGAATTTCGTTCACATTCTTTTATCCTCAAGTTCAAGCATCATCTGGCTTGAAAGCACCAGAGGATAACATGCCAAAAGAAACATTATCCCAGTTTGAATCTGAAAAGTATCTAATTTCGAAAAGAATTAAACAACGTTAAAAGTGCCATTAGGTCTTTATAAATATTTATGTTTAATTTCATGCGCACTTTTATGGCCAAATGAAAGTCTATTTATTCATTTTAAGAAAAAAAATGAAGGTTAAGAAAGAAGAAGATAAAAATAACTTAAGGAGAGCTTTTAATTAAAATCTTTCCTTTATTTTTATGCTGTCAGCTTGTTGAATTACTGTGAAAGAACGAGCAAGAGAGAGAGACAAGGATGTTAAAAGAACTTTTCATTTGAAACTTTTGTATTGACTTGACGATAACTGAAAAGTTGAGCTTTTGAAAACTTATTTTAATATAATTACCACGATGTCAAAGGAGGTTGAAGATAATTTTCTTTTGAGACAAAATAAGGAAATTCTGTTTGCATCTTCTTAACTTTATCTCACTAACACATAAACCGCGACTTAGGTAAAATAAAATCAAAGTATTTAAGTACTTAAGCCTAGATGAACCGCAAAATAAAAAAGTTGGAAACCACAAATCTTTTTCATTTTCATCGTTTGTCTTATTGTTCTTCGGGATATTTTTCAATGGTGGAATGAATTGAAGGAATAATAAAATTATTTAAACGAATTCATGCTTGAGATAACTTTGAGGAACTCTTAGACATGAAGATTCGATTTTATCTCTCTTTAATCATTGAAGATGTTCGAACAAGTAAACCTCTTAAAAATCATTAAAATTCATGAGATTGAAGCTGTCTAATTAACCAACATTCAATGACAATTTTTATTTTCGTTTCATAAAATAAATGCGTGAGTATAAAAAGTGTGTCAATAAATTATCAACATGAAAAGAATGTTTGTTTCTCAATCATTCTATCATCATGAGAAATAAGTGAGTTGAAAGAACAAGAAGTTTTTTATTTGGAACTGTAACAAGTATGAAGGTTGTCATGGCTAGAGGTTTAACATTCGAATAAATATCATGATTGGTATGACGTTTAGCTCTCGAATTATATTTATTTCAACTCTGTGAACTGGAAGAAAGGCTTTAGCCAATACAATGCTTCCTGTTGCTGCTTGGCAACGACCAACGTCGAACGACGTCGATCTCAAATCGAAGAAAGAGAAAAGTAATTACTCATAATTATTCCAGTTAAAATTCCTATTTCGGTTTGATTCTGTTATGTCAATTAACAAGAATAGCTCATTTTCTCATAATTCATTTAAAGATCTGTAATGAAATTACATTTTTGACGAATGACAAAGCATTATTTTGTTATCAGTCATTACTGAGTCAATTGTCAGGTTTCAGATGACAGCAGCGTTACGCAGAGACATTTTTTATGCTAAGCTGTTGCTTCGTAACAAACTGACTAGAAAAACTTGAATATTTTGAGCTTTGAACTTTTATTTCACTTTGATTTATTAATGATTCCCTCTAATGCATGATCAAGCTTCTTGAGCTTAATTCTAAATTGTCGACTTGATGATGAATAAGAATCTTATGCACAGAATTCATTCTAATCCCAAGTCGTCCATTAAGATGAAACATGAGACTGTTCAGCTTCCTCCATTAAACGTTAATTCTTCATTCATTTCTTTTTAGTTGATGGGAAGGAGACAAGTAAGAAATTTCCCTAGCAGATTTTGATCTCATTTATGACAGCGCATGACAAAACGAAATACCTAATGATTAAAATTTAGTTATGAAATATAAAATATCTAAATTATCCGATGGAAACTTTACTTTCATTTCTTTCCATTTATCAAGGCAACAAGAGAAAGTCTTTATTAAAATATTTTGTGGTGAATGAGATGATGGAAAGGGAAAGGGAAAAGGAACTGGCATGCCTTATGTAAACATGAAAATTCTTCAAATCAAAAAGCCAAGAGCGTAAACGAGATACAAAAAGCGACTTTAGCATAAAAGACGAAAAAAAAAAGCCAAGTAAAAGCATTCTTAAAAATTGCTTATGTAAATAAGCTTTCATCTTGTATATGTACACGAAAGTCAAGAAATATCTCGAGAAAAGGGAAAAAATTTAAGAAAAATAAAATTAATTTACTGAAACTTTTTATCTCTCACAAATCCTCGATGGTGAAGTTTTATGTTTATCCGATTATTCATTTGCTTGAAGGGAAACTTGTGAAGATTTAATCACTTCCCTTCCTTCTAATATTTTCTCTGCAATATTATCTACTTATCAAGTAGTGAAAATCATTTCTATTTAGATACAAATATTACTTTCCTTATGGTTATAATTTGTTGGGACAACGCATTGAAAATAAGTAATCAGATCAGTCAACTCAAAAAGCTTTCAGGTGATACGCCTTCTTGACTTCCTTATTTCGAGCCAGTTTCACCAACTGACAGATGATAATTCAAAGATTAATGAGCGAGAGATTAGCTGATGATAAGCGAAGGGGCGAAGAGACAAGGCAAACAAAACTATAATTAATAACAGAACATTAGTCCTAGGAGAGAACGTGCCGGGAAGTATGATGTTGAAGATATTTTTGATATCACATTTTACGCAACATCACGATGAGCAAAGTTTTCTTTACTTTGCTCGCCCTTTGGGCTCTTTGAGTGTCGTGAATTGGTAACTTTCTTCTTCAAAAAAAATTATTTCTTCTTGTTCTTACAGCTGTTTGCTGTTAACTAAAGTAAAAGATTATGAGCATACATCATGCGTTTGAAAAGGCACAGAACTGCTTTACTTGTTGTTTGAAGAGCGCAAATAATTTAACATTTCAGCCGAAAAAAAGAAGAAAGCAGTAAAAAGTCGTCGCTATTGTTCCTTTAACATTCGTATAATCATGAGACCGGATGAGAACAATTGAAAGTCTTTTTAATGAGCAGACTTCTTTCTTCAGATCTCATTACCTCATACCCACAATAAATTGAAATTCAAAGCATCCCACTTTACCCTTAAGTCATCCCCCGCTTTGTCATGAACAAGCAACGAGCACAATGCGTTGTTGTCTGAAAGTGGCAGGTCTTTTTGCAGTTCTTCTTGTCAGAGATAAACCACCAAAACAACCACAATCACGATGATGAAGTGCACAATTGAAGAAGGAAAAAGTTAATTAATTTTATTGAAAATATAAATAAAAAATAATATTCTAATAAATCTTGATCTAAGAAATGCAATCTGAAAGAATTAAATGAAAGTTTTTTCATATTCTAATTTTATTCACTAATGAACACCAGAGCAGAGGAAATATAATTAATTGAAGTCGTTAAAAAGCTCATTGAAGATGAGAAAACCTCAACGACAATCGTTTTAATTACATTCTCCAATTCACTCCACTCTATGACATTATGCCAAGATAGGTAAACCTCAGCTTATCAGCAACTTCGAAACCAAGCACCTTTTAAATTTACATATATTTGAATTTATCTAAACACTCCTCCCACAGGCCACAAGATTTTAAATATATACAACTTCAAGCGTCATTTCAAGCGAAAGAATTATGTATTCAAATATCATACGATGAACAGTGAACGTAGCTAAAATGTAGATAATGTCATAATATTTTTATACTCGAAATAATTGCGTGAAAATGATACGAACGAATGTTTCTTTCTATAACAAAGCTTTTAATGTTTGTTGTTGTTATTTTGAAGCAACATGATGATGTAGGAAAATGTAAAAGAAACAAACATCACATTTTCTTTCTATTCTTACACGAAAAGTTGAAGTTTGATATGAAAAACAATAAAGAAACGGAAATTTATGATCCAAATAATAGCAACGCAGAATATTTCGTATGGTCGCAGTCAGTATTCTTTAAATGATGAAAATTAATGGTAAAGAAATTTTGAATAACGCTACAGCAATTTTTCGCTGGCATGACATACATAAAGTGAGCAATGATGGTTGCGGAGTGGAAAATCATATTAAATTCCCATTTGTACTTTCTTCTTTCTTTTGAACATACAAAGCTAAATAAGAATGTTATCAGTTTAATAAATTTACTTTCACAACAGCAGACTTTTCTTTTATGCCATCTAAGAAAAATTATTACCATAAACATTGAAAGCTTCTTTTCCCCTTCCCACCTTCATTTCATTTCATTTCAATTCGCACCAGAGACAAGAGAGATTGTTATGCAGTCGTGAAGGAAAAGTATAAATACTCAGATATCGTTTGTGGATGAAATCATGTCGCGTCGAATCCACAATTTTCTTATGTTTCTATACATTATTCAAGAATTATGGAAATGATTTTTGTTTTCCTTCAACTTTTTCACCTTTCCTTCGTCATGACATTTTGTTGTGAGAATCGAACTCTCTCTTGTAAAAACATATGGAATTGGATCAATTTTGTGTACCATATGACTCAAATCATTGATCTAAATTCATTTTCCGAAATCACATTGTTGTGTTTTCCTCCTTTCACGATGAGCTTTTTATTACGCAACATTTCGAAGCTTAAGTGTCGCAATCGGGGGATAACGGTTGTCATTCTCAGCTGACTATTGAATTGGTTAATAGAATTCCTGGGGAAGTTGACTAAAATGATCTTAATTTAGTCGGACAACTGGAAAGGGTACAAAAAAAATCAAACGTAACGACGTGCCAACAAACCCTCATCACCGGCATGACATCAAAAATTCATAAGTTATTCGATAGAATCATTATCTTTCCAGTCTTGTTTATGGTAACCTTGCAAAGGTTACACAGCATCATAGAAAATTCCGCTTTCATCGATCGTTTGTTCGACATTCCACATACATAAATGGAAGCAATTGCTTCAATGTTATTCATCGCCACTCATTTTATGTTCTTCTGTCGTAGATGAAAAATGTGACATGTACAAAGCGAAACATGCATGAACGGATACAGTAATTCATCTTACGGCCATCTTCTTTCGCTCGCAGGATGGAGGAGGAAAAATTGAGCTATGATAGCAAACTGCAAGTAAGTAAAGCTTTTCGGAAGTTTTAAATATTCATCATCATTGTCGTAAAAGTTAGAATTAGAAGCACGAACGAACGACAATTAAGTTTTAATGTTTCCCAAAAAGGTCACCTTTATAATTCAGCAATTTAATTTAAGCTTCCAACTGGCGAACTGGTTAGAAAGTTTTTTGTGGTTACGAAAATATTGTTTTGAATGAATATTTAAAAGTCAGAGATTTTCTCGTTACAATTCTTTGATTTGAGAATTGCACAATGATCGTAAAATCAGTTCAAGTGCAGAGTGCACAGTTTCTAAGTACTCATAATAAACTTGACTCTGTTAAAGAGTTAATAAATCTGAATTTACTGTCATGAAACTCACTTGAAAACAGTAAAAAAAGTGAACAAATAATTTCTCTTTTCAAGTGGAAAAAAATATTTCTCTACTGTCACAACTCACAATGTCACTTTTGTCTGAAATCGTTTGGATACAGACATGTTTTTATGACGATGTTTCGAGAGACTGAATAACTTTTTCTTGCTGACTTTCCAAGCATAAATTTCATAGCGTGTTAAGTTCATTACACCATCAAGTTGACGTCCATTTTTAAATTGCATAACTTTAAATGAATGAAGATAAAATGGGAAATTAATCGAGTGCGGAGTTTTCATTTTCACATTGTAAATGATCATCAATCATCAGTGATTAAGGGAAACAAGTGTTTGTATTGTGAAACATTATGTTTACGGCAGGAAGGAAGCACACAAAATGAATCGAAAAATTTATTTTTCAGAGTAAATAATTTCATCGCTTTTTTTCTGATAAAAATGAAGAAACAAGAAAAGTTTTTTTTTCTTTCATAGCAAAGAAATTTGTAGTAGAAAAAGAAAAAATTATATTGAAAGAATGTTGAAGAAACTCATCGAAGAAGTCAATTTAGCTCGTAATTTATGGACTCATGAATTATATTTTCCTTCTTCTCGCCTGCAAATTTTTTTGTTTATTTACTTCAACATTATTCATGTACAATTTTCGGCAAATATGAAGATTTCATCAACAACGATGCTTCACAATTGATTTTCCTCAATATGATCGACTCACGCTTTGTTTGCTTTTCTTCTTTCTTCTTTTTATGACAACAAGAAAAGCGAGGACAGACGAGGAAGGAAAGGAAAAGAATCTTAATTTGAACACAGGAAAGGAATATTTATTTGTTAGCAAGTAGAATAGTAAACACTAATTAATCTAAATTTTTATTTCCACATCATTCCAAAGGGAAATCAGCATGCCAAGTAAACTGCCCGTGAGGTCCCGTCCTAGCACCAAAGTCGACGAAATCATCACCAAAAGCATCGACTTCGTGGAAACTTGGCTTCACTTGACGGGCGCTCTTCTGATCTGTTTCATTTGAAATTTTCTTCTGATTTCCTTTCTTCAAAGCTACACAAACCAGCACAATGAAAATAAAATTAAGAAACTTTTTACCAAACATTTTTACTTTCTTATTTATTTATTCCTATGTTTGTGAATTTTCAAATTGAACTACTTTCAAGTATCTTGAACCATCTGGTTTTATAGTGAAAGCAACAGACAAGACAAATACTCACTTAAAGAACAACTCAAATGTTTTTCTTTCTTTTGTTTCACGTGATTGAATATTTGTGAAGAAAGAAATGAAGAATTTAATGAACCGAAACATGATTCGTGATACGCGGGACCTACTTTTGCATTCATGTAATGAATTTTTCACATCTCATTCCTACGTGGAATGATCTTTTGTTTCTTTTTCACTGATTTAATGAAGACTTTAAGTCATTAAAAATGAAATTTACTTGTGCGAAAGAAAAGACGATGAAATTAAATTAAATTCCAAGCACAGAAGTTGTTTACAATAATTGACTTTACAGATCATTGATTTGAATAAATGAAAAGTATCTTAACGGTGAAAGTCATCGTCTGGTTTTCTGTTTTATGTCTCAATTAAAGTCTGCTTATTACCCTATTAACGATGAATAATTCTTCCAACTCAAGCTAAATTAACTGGAACAGTGAATCGACTGACGCACAAATTTATTTCTTGAGCAAGAACTTTATTGATTATTTTCATCTTTGATGAAAAAGGTTAACACAACTGCAACTGAATCACGTATTTACGATTGAATATCATTTCAATGTTTATATAACTCTGATATCGATAGAAATGATTTGATTTGATTTGCAGCTGGTTTGTAAGTTGTATATATGAATTCATCTGACATCTCTCATGTTTATTGAGAAAGAAAATATCTAAACGAGGGAAAAAGTAGATATTGACAGAAAAAATAAAGAAATCGCTAAAAATAACTTCACGCCAAACATGTGCAGACGAATAAAGCTTGAGGACAACATTGACAAAGATTCACATTATTGTTCATTATAAAAGTAAACTTTGGAATTGTGTTTTCGTGGCGACCGACATTGGGCCTGTGAGATGTTTTTGCCGTCAGCTTTGTAGCTTAAATGGGGCGCACTGTCAAGTTGTCGAGTCATGAAAATATGTTCGACAAACCTGCTTGTCATTTTTCTTTGGTAAAGTTCTAATTAACATCCTCACTCTTTAACATCAATGCTTGTTAAAAATAAATTAGGGAAAAATCGTTTACATGATGATAATGTTTAGAAAAAAAAAAAGAAGGGAAGGGTCGACTTGAGAGTAATCATCGGAAAAACATCAAAAAGTGAAATTTAGCAAGATGAAAGAGAAAATCTGAAAGTCGTGGAATATTTTAAAGATTTCTGTTGACTGAAATGGATATTAAACGATTTGCTATCCAACTTATCTTGTTGTTGATTTCATTAATTCTTTTTAGAGCGAACGAAACGAGAAAAATTCAATGGACGAAATGAGTGATAACAAATTCATACATGTGCATGGGAAATCAAAAAGCTGTTCTTCTGATTATGACAGATAAATTATCATTTGAATGTCTTCTCTTTATAACTTTGTTTTTTCCCTCAACTTCAACTTCAACAAAGAGAAAGAGATGAAAATGAAAATATATGGAAAATGTGTGTTCGTAAAAAAATTTCCTTTTTCTTTTCATTTTCTGGAAAAAAAAGAGAAGCTTTTTGCAGTTGATGGATAGCGAATGGAAATTATGTGAACAAGAAAGAATGTTGTTCTTTTTGGGGGAAGGATTGGAATGGACTAAAAGAAAAAGAAAAAAGAAAGCCTTGTAGCATCTCCGAAAGGGTTTGGATGGAATAAAGAAATCTTGAAATGAAAGATTCTTGATAATTTGATAAATAATTTTTTTTGGGTTGTAAATTGAGATTTTTCGTATGGTGTAACACAAGGTTGATAGAGTGTTGGTTGAATCTAAATTAACATTCACATGCTTCTTATTTTGAAGTCTCTGGCAGTGAAATCTTCAACCATTTATCAAAGTGTGAGAAAATTGAGTGCGGCTGAGAAGTCATGGTTGATATCAAGTATCAGGTGAGGGGAATGAAATTAATGTCTTTCAATTTAATTTCCCTCTCCACCCACTAATTTTTCTAAGCAGTAGCTTATTCATACATGTCTTTTAGAAGCTTCAAAAAGCTGTTAAGCCTAATTTGATTCTTTGCTAATTTATCATCGAGTATTTTTCAATTACGTTAAAATTTATCCAGACTGTAACTTTTTTTGTTTTAATATTTTGCTTCTGTGTGTGGGAATGAAAAATTTTTCATCAGCGTCAAAAATGTTTTCTTTTTTGCTTCTGGAAAACAAGATTTATGAGTAATTAGAAAATTGCCCTTGGGTTGTCAGAGCACAGAAAACATAACAATGAAATTTTACTGATGGATTTTGATAAATATTTTGTGAAATTCTAGATTTTCGAATTTCCTATGGGAAAGTGTTCTAAGATTTTTAAGGGTAATATTTGGAGACCCGTGTTGAAGATGGTTGATTACGCAGCAGTGGAATCTAATTGATTGATTTTCAATCCGGTGGTTGTTAGCTTCTAAAGAATTTCAGCAATGTGAAGTGAGAATCGTTAATTTGAGCTTCCCTCAAGCATATTTATTCCATTCCTCAAATTTCATAAAATCATTTCACAATAATCTGAAGCATTTATCTTAGATAGACTTTGAGGCGAAAACGATATTTATATCACAAAGCTATTTTATACCTTAAGTTAGAAAATTCGTTATAACTAAGTTTAGAAATGTCGCAAATTTCATTTCTTTTTTTTTACTCAAAGATGCTTCCGGAAACACAAACAAACAAACTCAATTCCGTTCCATCAAGGAGAGAAAAAGCAGACACTTAATTTCGTTGATTTTAATTCAATTTAAAGCACTCGAACACATTCACTGGATGTCAGTTGGAGTAGATTATTCTTTATTTATTTGAAGACTGATAAGTGTAATTTGTTGTTGCCACTTCACAAACAACTGAACAAACAACCAACAATTTAGTGTTACAAAAGTTAAGGATGTTAGTTGTAATCTATCAGACAACGTTTGAGTTTACTTTCAGCTCGTAATTTTGTGTGTGAGGTTTTTTATTTCCGTTTCGTCAACACGGTGTGAAGCTTCTCACACCAATAACCACACGGTTCCGTACCACATGAAATTGATTATTAATCATCCATAGCCATATTGAAAGCGAGAGACATGCATGTATAAAAAAGAATCTATTTTGTCGCGTATGTTTCATGGCTTTCATGAATCTCGAATGGGTTCAATTTTTATCCAAGCGTGTATTTCAAATTATTCCACGACATCGAATAAATTTGCTTCGATAAATGAAAAGCTTGAAAAGCTCTCTTTATTTTTATTTCATTTTTAATTTCATGCTCTACGACACGAAGTAGAACACATAAATTATTCATTTTTCAACTTAAAATATTTGAGTTATTTTTGAAAGAAAAAAAAAGAGAAAATCGCTTCAATTATCACCACAAAAGAAAGATTGTTGATAAAAATAATAAAGCGCAATGCAACCTGTGGAATGTAAAGAGTTGCATGCTTTTTCTCTTTTTATTGTAAGTATTTTCATGTTGTTTTGATCATGTAAAAACAGGAAATGTAAACTTTTCCTGAAACGATAAGAAAATGCGATAAAATTATTGTCGATTATCGTTTCACTAAAAGAGCTGTGAGACCGAAAAAAAAGAAGAAATTTGAGAACATTATCAATATACAGCATCGTTCTGCCTTTTTAACACTTAAGTTTCAGAATGGGATCGTTTAGTGATTGGTTTTGAAAGGCACGAAACTGTTCAGTATTCTGCCTTTCTATCAAGATTATGAATGGTGTTTTGACTATCGTTTCTGCTTGATATCTTGCAGGACAAAAGAAAAAACCTTTTCTGCTGATTATGAAAATCATTTTTTTCTATTGAGTGAGAGTAGATTTTAAGTCCATGATAAGAAATTCAATTTCCGATGATGGTGTGTTTATTTTCAACTTTATGCTTGTAGCAATTTAGAATATTTTCTTGTTTGTCATGAGCAATAAAAAAACGAATGAAGAAATGTTTCTCAGACTTCATTTAATTTCTATGTAATTGCAGATTTGTTCATTCAACTAAATCTCGTGTTCGACTTCCATCATAATTCATGTAACACTGATTATGTAATCCACAAAACATGCGACAAATTTTCTGCCAAAAAATATTTTCATCTCCACTGATTCGTGTAAATAAATTTTCATGTAGATAACATTTTGAAACATTTTTTTTTTCTTTGTTGAAACACGAAAAATATTTCTTTTTTCTCTTTTTCACTTTTTATCTTCTTTTTGCTGTAGAGTTAAAAGCTTGAAATGAATTCCTTTCTCGTCTCTCACTCGTAACATAAAGGCTGCTTCATTGGCTTACTTTCTGAAAGCGCACACACAATCTGAACAGAGTACAGACTGTAACAAAACTAAAGGAATTCTTGGGGTAACAACATCACAATAAAATAAAGTATTTTACTGAAAGCATTACTGGAATTTTTCAACCCTCACAATGATGAAATGTTAAAAATATTCATCATACTTCACTTTTTTACAATCTCGATCTTATTTTATTTTTTATTTTTCAACTTTCAGTCTGTTTTAATCGACATCATTACACTTCGTTTTATCTTTTACACTATTATGGTTAATTAATTTTAAATGAAATCTCTTCAAAGCTATTATAAAACGACTAAAATTGTGGGGATGAGATAAATTAATGCTTTCCTTATCCTCTGAACGATTTAACTTTTCAATGAGTTATGGTGGTCAGCAAAAAATAAATTATAAGAAAGTAAGCCAAATTGTTATATTTAATTTCTCTTTATTCCAACTTAGATTATTGCCTTTTTTTAATTTTTTCATCATTGCTTTTAACGAATATTTTAGGCTTTTTTCTACTTTTTTCATTACACGGAATTACAAAAGTTTCTGCTCGTCTTCTTCTTTTTCCATCTGCTTTACATTCTTATTTTTTTTATATTCACTGTCAACGCTATTCACAATTTATCCAGGATGTAATTCTCTTCCTTCTTTTTTGTTCTTGAAGCTTCAAGCTAAACAAAAGAATTTTGTGTAATTCACAACATTTTATTTTTTTGTGTCCATTAAATTTTATGACGACAAAATCAAGTTAAACATTTTAATAAAACATGAAACTATTTTATTTTCCCAACATTTGAAAACTTTTACGACACATCAAATTATCCAAAACTTTCTTTTTCAGATCATTGCATAATGTCATAGAGATACACAGGAAAGAGACATAAACTTTTTTCAACAGCACGTCTGAAATTTACCATAAATAAAAACATTTTTAATTTTTGAGAAAAAAAATCAGATTTCTTCTTTTTTTTTTAGAAAACCTCACATCACACAATTTAATTGTTTTTTAAGTATAAAAAAAGTGAATTGAATTGAGAAATCTCTTCACGCTTGCGATTATAGAACGATACACTTCATCGGCTCGCGGTTAATAGTAAACTGAAAAGTGTTCTCGTCTCGAGGATGGCAAAAAGGCGCCGCGCGTTTACATGCGAAAGATGAAAATCATTTGTGATGCGGCGCAACATGTTGCACATAAATTTTTCATATTCGTTCTTAAGTTGTGTGAGCGACGTGGCATGTTGTGTACATATCAAGAAGGAAATTTTACGGTAAGAGATTGAGAGAGGAAAAGTAACATTTATTGATGGGAGCTTTGGGATTTGTTCGGAATGCTTTTTATGGCTTGTAAGTGCTTTGGGAGAAAAATCTTTTTCTTCATTTTCTGAAACGTTCCAAAGAATTTTCTCTTAACATTTTCATGGAGGATTATTATATAATTTTATTCCATTTTTATTAATCATTTATTCGGTTTTGTTCAATAATTTAACAGAGTAATTCATTAATTGTTTTGATGAAAATTTTAATTGAATCTTTCTTATTCATCCTTTTTTTATTTAATTGAATTCACGCCTTTTTCTTCTTTTGAATCAACAGTTGCGTCATTTTCCGAAAAATTCTCGAGAGAGTTTCGATGTCTTCGTTCTCTTTCTCTCTCATGTCTTGTACAACGTCATGTGATATTAAAATGTAGCACAGCATTGTGCGTCTTTGTGACTTTTCAATATCCTTCTTTCCTTATGTGAATGAATCATACTAACAGAGACTTAGAACTTATCAAGTATGAATTGATACAGCTTTATTTATGAACCTTATGACTGTGCTTTTTTATCCATTTATCAACGATGCTTTGTTACAGAAGTGGGCCAAATACATTAGAAACATTAGGAAATTTCAAGTATGAAAATAACAGAGAGACAGAAATAAGCAATAAACTATTTCATAAATTTCTCCCTTCTGAAATATTTTTTTATTGATTCAGATTAACTCACAGTTTCATCATCATTGTTAAATCTTTAACAATTGAAATGCTTTGAGTAGATTTTGATGTGTTGAAAGTTGAAACAGTTTTCCGCTCATCATACAAATGGAATTTGATGAAACTCGAGAAGGAAAAATGTGAAGTAATTCAAAATGACTTTCACTTCCTTTTTTGACTTTTTGAATATAATGATGTCAAAAATGCTTAATTTAAATAGTAACTGACACATATGTTGTTCGTTGATGTTGTCATGGTTGTAAATATTTTTGGATGTAGGTTAAATTGACATCATTCAGTTCTACCGGAAAATTCTTTTCATTTCTTTTTATAAATATAAAAATAAAGAAAGCTTTGGGTTTAGGAATTATAAGATCCAAATCGACGTCTACTTACACAAAGAACTAAGCAGGTGCATTCAATTTAAGACCCATAATAATTATGTACATATCGTTTCATAAATGGCTGTTGAGAATCTTTTTTGATATCTTGATTTTCCATTCTTTTCTATTTTTAAACGGCCACGAATAAAACTTCTTTAATCGAATAATTCTTTTACACGCTCAACATTGATTTATAGAAAAAGTTTCTACTTTATGGCAGGAAAATCAAGGTGGGAAAAGAAACCCAAGATATGCGGCATCTTGAAAAGAGATGAAAACATTTCTGTGTATAAGTTTGGTGCGTTGAGTAATTTGTAGCATGTGCTGTGAATTTAAAAACATATCGCGTTGCACTCAATTCTCTCAAGCACAGGTGAAATAAAATTTATTGTTGTAATTCGAATTACTTTCATTTGTAAATAAAACATAAATTATTTCTAACCGATAAATGTGATACACGGCAGACATTAGGTTTCATTAAGTGTTCTTATTTTTCAGCTGTTAGCTTTTATTATTCGCAATGAGAAAATTTGTTAATAAAAATCTGATGCTTTTAAGAGGAAACAAATTAAAACTTTTTAATGATAAGGGATATTGTTGAAATTTATTGCTTTTGCTTATTTACATTTGTAATTCAATAAATTATTGTTGTCTTGAACGAGAAGTTTGATATGAGAAAAGTTTCATCGTCTTCACGAAGACAACAATGCACTATCAATCTCGTTTTACGTTCAATTTTATTTCCGATTCAAAAGATTTTCTAAATTTCAGTTTAGAATTGCTTTCGATTCTCAGATTTAATTTCATACAATGTAGCTTTGTTATTTATGTGAGTGAACATATCCAGAAGCAATAATTTGTCCGATATATCATAAATTCGTTCTGAATTATAATAAGTTTCTTCTTCCTTCTGTCTGTTCTTCGTTGCTTCGTTGCTTATCCTTGAGGATTCAACAATGTAAGCAAATAGACTTTCATAAAATAAATTTAATAAATGCTTTTATTACTTGAGAACTTTAAAGATTATATTACAATTGTTTTGCAATTTTATTCTCATAATCCAAAATGGTTAGCAATGTTACAAAATTCAAACCTTTCTGTTGTTATTTTTAAACCATTCTTGATTCGTCATGCCTGTTGAATTTTCCAACTGTTATGGCTTGTTGCGGTTTTGTTTATAATCTGTGGTCAGTTTAAAAGTTTAGTTGATTTATGCACGTAACTATTTATTTCTTTTTCCGCCTTAAATGAATACCAACTCTGGTTAATAAAAACTTAGTTTTCATCCAACAATCAACATCAAATCCAGAAAAATTGTTGAAAGTAATCACGAAAAAACATTTTCGTAAAGTATTTTGAAAAATATAAAATATTTCCATCTGAAAACAAAATTATTTTTCATAATAACAAATTGAAGCTTGTGTAATGGAATCTTAGAGTATTAAGCTTGCGAAAGAGAAACATTGAAATGAATTTTAATATCTTTCGTTGTTAAGAAGAAAAGAAAATTTCATGTAAATTTATGTAATGCAGGGTTGAATTCCCTGAAGATTTTGATGAGAATCTAAGAAAGAAGAGCATCATAAATATGAATCTACATAATAATTATTTAATTAATTCTTTGCTTGAGATTTTATTCCCTTTATTGTCAACAAGATGACGAGTTTCCTCACTTCATTTTATATTCTCGTTCATATACATAATCTTATGTGAATTATGAGAATAAATAAAAAGTTACACAAGAAACATAAGACCCATGACATAAAAAAAAGTGTTTACGAATAAGTTAGATACGCGTAAAAAGTGTTNCTTCAATCAATTCGATTTTAATTTTTCAGAAACAACTCTTCACCATTCAAGCACTCTCGAGAGAATCTAATTATGAGAATAAATAAAAAGTTACACAAGAAACATAAGACCCATGACATAAAAAAAAGTGTTTACGAATAAGTTAGATACGCGTAAAAAGTGTTGATCGAGGTGGATCCAAATTCACTTGGCTCTCAATTTAAATTGATCGATGGGTTTCAAATCATATAAAAAGAAAGAACGATGAGAAGGATGAACAATTTGTTAACTTTTATGTTGTTTTCCCTTGCCTTTTAACAATATTAGCTTATGTCGAATCGTATTCAACATGTTGGTGCTTTTTTAACAGAGCGACTTGATTGATTTTATAACGAAAGAAATTGTCCTTGGAGAACTTCGTACGAGACCTACGAACCGACAGAGAATTTTACTGCAGTACTTGATAAATATTTATTTAAGTAGCTAATGAAGACAAAGCATTCCATCCCTAATTTTATTTTTATTTTCCAACATAATTTCTCATCATTTTCTGATGATTCGACCTTTTTAATCAACTGGCTATAATTTGTACATATAAAGAGAAATGGGATATGAAAAAAGAAATCAACATCATCATCTGTCAAGGTAATTAATTCTTTCATTCATTCCTTCATTAAACAAACACAAATCGATAATACTAAATGTGATGGTTTTATCATTCATGTTAGACTTCTCCTACGTATTTAGATGTTATTTCTGAAGTAGGCGGACCTCAGAGATGCATGAGTTAACATTAGATTCTGATTAACAATGCCACAAACAAACACAATTACTTGTGACGATTATCAATTAATTTCATGAAGTCAAATTCATTCGAATTCATAACAAGAATATGATTTCTTAGGTTGAGAATTTTGTTTCGATATTCATTGGAAATGTTTGTTAGGCGAGAGGAGAATTCTTTAAAATAAAATCGATTCGATGACGCGGAAAAAATTTAGTCTTTTGTAAATGTAGAAATTCGAGGTCAAACTTTACATCATTAAATCTAATTATTCTCCACAAAAAATCCATTTCACTGAAGTCAAATTTTCCTGGAGGGAACACTGAACTTTGCCGTCTTTTATACTCGTTTAAATGTCATTTAATATTTTTTTTCTGATTTTCTTTTATAACAAGCAAGATGTTTTTGCAAGAAACAACCTCAAGAAATCATATTATCTGGAAACATAAAACAACATTGAAATGTCTTTAACTTTTTTATTGTTTCTTTAAATTGCATTTTCAAATTGACCTTTACTGACACAATGAGCCATTTATTTTTCAGTGAAATAAAAGTCTGACAAAATGTGTTTAAAAGACATCGAAATTGTTTCTTAAAATGAAAATTTAGTGAGAGGTCGACGGATATTTTAAAATCATGATATACGTCACAATTCTGCAATCTCTATGTAAATATATCATTGAGATGTCATCACGTCATTCACTCTCATCGTCACGTAAACCACTCTTCCATTGCCTAAGCATCAATTCAGCCAAGTAAACAACATTCTCAATATGTTTTAAAAGCATCGGTTATATGAATAAAAAAGCGTAGAGACTTTCAGAGTTAAAAAGAAAGAAAAATAAAACCCACGCTCATCATCATGTTTTAATATATTTCATGATTTCCCCAGATAACAAATGTAAATAAAGTCTGGGAACTGAAGAGAAAAAATGGAAAAGTTCACTTGAAATCAATGAAATTTTGTGTTTTGATCATAACTATGTACATAAGAAGAAAAAGTGAAGAATATTCGATGAATAAATCCAAGTCAAAGCTTTTTTTGATCTACATTGATTGGAATCTTGTTTTTTATGATACCACGATGTGATGTGAAAAGAACAAGAAATGTTTTCAAGGATATAACCAGATATTTGTTCGGGTTTGTTATCCAAAGTTATTGTCCCTTTTATAGAAAGCTGATGAGGGATGAAAACTTTCAGAGAAGATCAAAACAATGACAATCTTCTTATATTTGGATTACAATCATTTGGTTGTTGATGTCTAGCATTTTTTATCTTTAGTTTGTATCATCAAAAGAATGTTGAAAGCAATCAACTCTTTTTAGATCTGCTCATCTGAATGGAAGATTTCATTTTATTAAGAGATAAAAGTGAAATTTTTACGAACTTCACCGAAACTTCGCAGTTCCTTCCTTTTCAAAATCATGCGCTCATTGAAATCATATGAGAAAAGTTAATCGCTTCATAGAGATTACTACAGTTCGTTATTTGTATAAAGAAAATTGATACAACAGCAGTCTGTGAATGAAATCTAATGAATGACGCCGTAATACGTGGGACGTGATTCATTTGAAGTTGTCTTTAAACACTATTTATGCACGTTTCAATGGCATTAAAGCTTTACATTCATGAATCCAATTCAAGAACCGGAAACATCACAGCTGTAAATTGTTTCTTAAGTGTTCGGAAGTGCATTAAAAAAGTTTTATATTCCAAACATATCTTGTAGAATGAGAGAAAGAAAATGAGGATGTCGTCTCACCAACGTTTATAGCCATCATAGCAAACAAACTCATAGAAAAATAAAAATAAAAATAGATCAGAGTAATTAAAAGCAATGGAATGAGAAAAAAAGGTTCACAAGGCAGAGCTAAAATTTGTTCTTTTTATAATTTTATCTGCCTTGTCTACCCGCAACATCCTTCTCCTAATGGTTGCAAATATCTTCTTCCTATAGATAAAAACTTTTTATCTTTATTTTTGCTGCTTTTTCATAACTGAAATCTAGGAATTTTTTCATTATTCATTCGAAAGTTAAATAAATATTTTCACGATAATGAGCAACGTTGAAAAACAGTAGAGCAATTGATGAAGAGCAATTTATTTGAAATGTAAAAGTAGACGAAGCATAATTAAAACTTTGAGAGAAGCGATTTCAATTGGTGACCTGTAAGATTTATTTTGAATAAGTGAAGCAGAAACGGTCCTCACGCGACAGCATTTCAAGCATTTCTAAAAGCTCTAAATTCGAACTTTTTAAAAAACATATCTCCATTCTCATAACACATGAGCAGAAGTTTTCTTGGAAAAGCGTTTGGAAAATTCTCAATTTTCTAAAGCGCATGAACAAAATGTGAGCTTTCAATGTTTTCCAAAACATTGAAAGTTTCAAGAAAGCTTTCACGTGAAACATTGAAAAACATTAAAGAAAACATCGTGAAACATCAATGAAAGCAATTCAGTTGGAATGACCTATAAAAATGGGCATCGAATGCTTTTTTTCTATTTCATGGACTCTTAAATTCAAGTTATTTTCAATTTTATCTTGAAATGGTTTACTTGAATACTTGTTAAAGATTGAAGTAGATATTCTTCCATGAAATCCAACATCTCAAGACAAACGAATCAAACATTCTTCTAATACTCAACTCATGAATTGTTTCTTAAGTATTAATCTTCGTTAACTTTCTTTCATCTCATTCTTTTAAACAAATGTCGCTCCAAAAGTCCTAAACTTTCTTTTTGCTACAATATAAGATGAAGAAGAAAAAAAAACTCATCAACGAAATATTTTTCATTTCATCTTATTCTTTCGTCTGCGCTTGCCAAAATCATAAGATGAAAAATATAAAACATTTTACTAAAAAAGAGATACTTTAAGGGAAGGAAAATACGGGGAAAACATCATCGACATTTTGAATTATTCATTGAAATTTCATATCTTTGCAATATTGTTTTATCTTAACTCTCGAGGGTAAACGTATTCGATTGCCGTTTTTCTTTCAATCTTGACAACGCACTTCTCATCATTTATATGTAAGCAAGTACAAGAAGATTTAAACCCTTCACGAACTTTAAATCGTTGTATTGAATAGTAGAGGAATGGATAAGATAAGTAGAAATAGAAAGAATAGAATAAACATCCCAAGGCAATAAATATCACGCTTTAGTGACGATAAAGAACTTGTAAGCTCTGCAAAGTTTAAATACGAAATAAAAGAATCTTCTACATCATTTATCGTTTAAAGTCTTTCAAAAGTTAAACAAAACTTCTTTAAGCTTATTTAAAGACTGCTTTGGTTGCAACGATTAAGACAGATAAAATGAATAACTCACCCATATCATCAATAATTGGAGCCATTCTGAGTGTTATTCCGACAAGAAGCAGACACATTATTAAAAGAAGACACGCAGTTGCGATGATAGTGAACTTTGCACGCTGTGGAAGTTCATCAGAATCAGGATCGATCACCTAAGCGTCATAAATATGAAATATTATTTATTGATTGATATTCTTTGTAATCATAAATAACCTTGAGACTTTTGTCATCCAAATTGTGAACCAGAATTTTTCGCTTTCGTCGTCTTTTTCTCTCTTTACATCTCTCATGGTCGTGATGTTGATGCCTTATTGTGATCAGAAGTTATGAAAAATGAAGATTTAATTTGTTAAAAAGAAGAAAATGTTTTATTTACTTGTGTCTATGCTTTTTATGTTCAGCAGGCACTATTGACTTTATTTCACCATTAAATTCCGACTCTATTTGTAGTGACACATCATACATGAAGCCGGGATCATATTCAAATTGTCTGAAAGGGAAAAAGTAATGTGAGGAACATAAATTTTATAGCAAACACTTTTTATCTCGATGATCAAAATAAGAAAAATTTATTGCAAGCAATGACATAAAATTTTGTTGCACTTCAATTTTAATGCTTTCGGAAAATGACAAAACAACATGTAAAGCATCTTTAATCCTTTCAATGATCATCGGTTGAATAACTTTTTGCAAGATTTAATGTAGAAATAAATCATCATTCAATAAATCATATTAGGGAGAATTTACGAGCTTATCCATGAATATACAAAGCAGCATAGCTACATACGTAAGTATTTAACAAATCTCCGACAAATTTCACTCAAGCATAAAACTATTAGTTAACATTTTCAGAAGAGAATTCACAAGCTGTTGGCGATGAAGTCATAAACGTCAAAAACAGAAAATTTAATCGTTCGAAAGCTATTTTGATTGCTTGAAGTTTTCACAACTAGAAAAAATGAAATAAATTTTCATTCTCTCGGATTTTCATTAATTACATTTTATAAAGTTTAAAACTACCATCGATGGCTTTCGAAATGTACTTAGTAACTCAAAGAACAAAGACAAATGTTTCATGTTATGACCTTATTCTGTTTAATCACCAACCATTTCTCACAGTGCTTTCTGTCTTTGGCAATTTCCATTAAACATTTTCTCATCTCGAATTGCGCAATGGAAAATTCACAATGAAGAAAAATATAAAAAGTGCGTGGGTGATGTCGAAAACATGATTTTTTTTATTCATGAAAGCTTAAACATAGAAATGTGAATGTCTTCAAGGATAATCCAAATCTTCCTTTCATGAAAAGCTTGTTGAAAAAAAGTTTTATTACTAAGACATCATTTACGATTTCATCCTCGTCTTTTAACCAAACCAAACCGACTCGTTATTCGTTGCGGCAAGTAAATACATGCTGAAAATTTTGTAGCTCTTTTGAATTAAAAAGTTTTTCAAAGCATTGTGGAAACTTTTCGCAACGCAATTTTGAATGAAAAAAGAAATGAAGAGATGAAAAATATTATTTTTCCCATGTGCACTGGATTTTCAACTTACATTGGTTGATTAGGTGGTCTACTGAGAATGCAATGCTTCAATCCACTCGAAGATGGATAAACAACTGGATCGGAACCTCGACTACTTCGTCCTTAAGAAGAAAAGAAAGAAAATATGTTAATTCAAGGCAAATTTTTCAACACGAGTTGAAACTTACGTCTTCGTTTCTTTTTCTTATTGACTATATCGATTCCTATGTCGTCTAACTCAAGCTCGATTTCGTGGTGCTTTGCAGTCTTATCATCAGATCTTCCATCTATGAAATTCTCCTGCTGTGCCTTTTCATCCTTTATCGATTGTACTTTTGGATGTTTTGTCGATTGCTTTTTGGTCGTTGTGGTTGTTATTACAGCAGCAGGTGGCATTTGTGATGTCAACTGATTAAAACTCGATATGAAGCCACGTGGAGAAAGATTTCCATCGTCGTCATAGCTGATCTCATATTCCACTGAAACGTCACGATATTTTGAATGTTTTTGGGATTTTCGAGTCGAGTGGACATGTTCAAGCGGTCCAGTTGCTGATGACAAAGGTTTAGCAAGAGTTGTTGTTGTGGTCGTTGATGTTGGAGCGATGACAATTGTTTGGGATTTTGTTTTCTCGATAGCTTTCGGTTCACATGATTTTTTTGGTAATTCCTTTTGAAATGTGAGAACCTTTTTATTTTCACCTTCACTTCTCAGTGGTGCTTGCTGATGACGTCCAAAAAGTGGGGTCGATTGGCAACTGATTGCTTTACGCTCGTTGACCTTTGCTTCACGTGTTAGTGGCGGTGATAAAAAGAGAACAGGCTTCTTAATTATTGGATCGGAATTTGTTGATGTCTTCTTGCTACGAACATTTGCCGGCAATTCGCTTATCGATTCACTAACCAAAGAAAATTCAATATCACTCGTATTTTGACTTGAAGCTCCATCATCACATATCGCAACGTCACTTTTTCCATTATTATTATTAACATTATTATTCTTATTATTAGTGTTATTATTATCGTTGATTGGTGACGGTTTGACTTGAACAACAACTGACGATTGTTGTTGTAAACTGATATCAGCTGTTGTCGCTAAACTCTCATCGAGTTCGTTGTTGTTTTTATTATTATTGTTCTCAGCTGACAATGGTGACGAATCTTTTGCTGTGTTATTGCAAAGAACATTTGATGAATTATTTGTGCTTACCGTTAATTGTGCATGTTCCGTTCGATTATTAATTAATATTTTATCACAATTGGAAATTCTGTCATTGACATTTTCGCTTGCGACTGAGACATTTTCTGGTTTCGTCGCTGCTGTTATATGTTCATTTAAATGACTATCTAATTTCGGTGGTTCTTTACCACTTGCATCTAATAATCCCTGTGTTGGTTTATCTGTCTTGTCATTTTCAACTTCAACTTTTGCTATCTCACTCGCTACAGATCTTTCATTGTCAGCTGGCTGTTCACCTTTCTCTACATCAACATCTGATTGCTGCTTTTTATGACGAAGAAAGAAATTTCTTTTTGTCTTCTTTTTCGGTTCAATATCACCATCCGACTCATGTTTTCCTTTATCGTCTACTATAACTGCCAAATCTGATTTTCTCGATAAAAAATTCTTCAAGGTTCTTGACTTTTTCTTATTCTCGTGTTGTTCACATTCGCGTTTAATAGCTAAAATTTTATTCTCAACTAGCGTCGTAAATACGGTCTCAAACTTTATGATGCTGTTCAACTCGTTTGCCGGTGTGGTTCCTGTGAAAAGTGCGTCATTGCTTGTAGAAACGCTTTTATCTACCTTCATGATAACGACGTTCGATTCGCATCAGGGTCACGGGGGATAGGCGACTTTACGACAAACATCAGTTGATGATTTTCCTTCAATCTTACTTTCGTTATGCTTGTTTTCATAAAATGTTGTCAGAGGTAGCAGAGCAGTCAAGCTAGCACAAGCAAAGACGGAAATCCACAGATTGTTGATAGGATGAAAATGAAAATTTTAAATTTTAATGCTGACTCTCGTATAACATCAACACGCTAAACTTCGGATGAAAAAGCACAGCATTGTGAAGCATAACTTTGATTTTCATTCGGACAAAAGGTGTGTTTGCGTTGCTCAATTTTTATTTTTATTATTTCGAGGGATGGTAGAAAAACTTTTAATAAATTTTCAATCTATTTTTTGTTTTTTTTAACGTGAAAGATTTTTTTTTTTGTGTTTTGTTTTCTTTTACTTGTGATGAATGCAGGCCAAAGTCACGCTTTGTTACATTCAAAAGCTGGTTGTTTATTTATATTCTTTTTTTAGAACTCAGGATCCACTAAACATTTCACACATTCTTTTATTTAAAACATTTTGTCTGGTACCAAAATCAAGATTAACAAGATCTCATTGTTTTCGTTTCAGTTAAATCAAATTGATTTCATTTCCATTCATTTTTCTTTTTTTCTTCACATTTCTTTATCTTTCTTCAAGTTTAACATCATCAGATGTTTCGTTTTCGAGTTTGCGTTGCTTTTACTTTGATTTTCTTCGAGAATTTTTTCTACAATTTAAAGGGAGAAAAAATCTTTTAGAGAATTTGTACGAGAAAAGAATTTTTTTTGGGTGTTGTGTCATTGTCGGAGATTGCGATGGCGGCGAGATACTCGAGACAAGATGAGAAAGTCACGATAATTCTTGCCAATTTTTCGGGTGCTTTAATGAAATTAAGTGGAGAGATTGCCATGAGTTTTCCATTTTTGTCGATTATTTTCACATTTTCAATGCTTTCTCAAATGAGAATTTCTATGGAATTTTCAGTAGATTTCCAAGAAATTTATTCTTCATAATGATTTGGAAACTTTTCCTTCTTTTCATTCATCAACTTGAGTTGAAACTCATTTTCATGTATTAGAAAAATAAAAATATCAGATATGAAGGTTTACCAACTATCCAGATTAAGTTTCACAATAGATGAGAGAAGAAGACTATTAAAGGCTCATGATGATGAATTGAGGTCGAAATCGATATGGTTTTACACACTCATCGGATTTATATTCCCACGTACGATTTTCTTCTTTGGAAGTGGAATTATCGAACATAAATCTTTCACTAAAGGAAAATTTTATCGAAGCAAAAGAGTCTACATTTGAATTTTTTCATGTACCATGAAATGTCTGAAAGCTTTGCAGTTTTCCTTCTCCCTTTCCTTCTTCATAATAAAAAATCTGTGGAAAATCAATTTCTTCTTCCACCGAAAGAATTGAAAACAAATTTCTGATGGGAGTCAAAAGAATAAAATTGAATCGCTAGGCAGGTTTTGTTTGCGTTCGACTTCTTATTTGTTAGAGATTTCCACAAGCTCATAAAGCTGATTTTTATTGCTCTTAAAATCATCTTGAGGATTGTTAAAAGGTGTGTATAAAACAATTTTCACGAAGCAAATAATGCTTTGCTGGTAGTACATTCAATAGTAGGATCCAATAATGTAATAAATTTTCCTATTTATGCTGATAACGCTTCTTTATTTTCTTTCGCTATTCACTTGTTTACTCGAGATGGTTTCAACGTAAACGTTACGTTTCGAGAATACAAAAGCTTGAAATTTCTCTCACATTGAAATCTGATACAGAACAAACATCATAAGTAATCGTCTTCTATCGTTACCCTAAAAGCTCCTAACGAGACTCCATAAAATGTAATGAAAATCATATGAAAAGCTTTTGACGATGAAATCACAATAAAAATTGCAATATCATTGAAGCGTTCTTCATCAATATAAATTTAGTTTATGTTGACCTGACTCTGTGCTTGTGCTAATATATGTATAAAATTGAGTTTATTTTCATTTCATAGCTCTCATACATACTTTAGAAAAACCACAGAGTTGTTTGTTTTTATAGATTTATTATTGTTATTGTCAATAACAATTCACTCTCTTCTTTTTATTAATCATTGTTAAACAGTGAAAAGTGTAAAATAAATTTAACGATCATAAACATTTTAAATGTTTAAATGTATAATAATCAAGATTTAAAGCATTAAAAACGCAATTAAATTAAAAATAAAATTGAATATTTTTAATGTGACGATAAATCTAAAAAATGAAATTATTATTCGGAGATTAGGGAATGAAAATGTCGAGTTTAACATGCAAATTTTGCATCAATGTTTGTTCAAGTAGATTTGAAAATTCAATGTTTATGTTGGGTGACTAATCCAGTTTCAATTTCCATTTAGATAATTTCGTTCTATGTATGTTTGCTTACAAATGTTCGTTTACTTAACGATATTAAATATTTTATTAATATAAAGAAATCGACTCTTAATTCGTGAGATCAAATAAACTAATCCACAAATAATGGAATGTAAGTTTGTGGTTAACATGATCAATGAAAATATATTACAAACGATATTTTTATTATTATTCAAACATCAATTTCAGAAGATGAAAACAGATGAAACAGAGACGGATTGTGGACTAAGTATCGAAGTTCAATATTTTCATTAGAAATCCTTCCCTCCAATCACTGTCTCGAAAAGTTTATTTATTCATATGAAGAGTAAAAATCGTTGAGGAAAATGAAAATATAATAAAATTGAAACGAGAGACGATCGCAGCAGAGAATGCGAAAGAATGAATCGTTCAACGGATAAAGCAAAACGGAATGTTGTAATTCATGTTTACATATTCTTTAAAGACATTGAACAATATATAATTGTTTATCTGAGGAAATACAATTTGTGTTGTAGAGAAAATTGAAATTGTTATTAAATCATTTCTTTCATGCCCAGATGTTGTTTTGACTACAATTTCTCACAAGAAGAACAAGAAAGGCTGATATTATTATTAGATTAGTTTACTTCATCTTGAACACTAATGGAACATCATAATTAAATGAGAAAACTTCATTTATGCTGACGATAATTTAATGAAAAAATATGACAAAAGTCTTTCATCCTTTCTCACGCCCACTAAGGGTTTTAATTTGCATAATTAGCTCGTCTTGATAATTGCTTCAGTGCCATCAGAAAACATCACGGTCTAATAACGGAAAATGCGATTAAAAGCTTACAATAATTACCAATAAAAGGAAAATCTTCGAGGGTGAATCTTAACTTTTCACAAAATAATATTCAAATTAAAAAGTCATAGCTAAGTATAGCAAGAGAGAGAAATCTTAATTATTTTAAGATATTATTAAACTCAAATGATTTTGACTTGAAAATTTTTGATAATTGTTAAATCTTTTAAGTTCTTCTTATTTAATGTTAATTGCTGAAGTTTTTCATCAGACAATTTCAACAATTATAAAATAATATGAAATGACTTTTAAATTTATGGTAATTAAACTGCATTTACAGTGAAAGAATGAACAAAAAATAATTGATGATTGTGCTTAATTTATGAACACAATGAACATGAAAGTTAAAACTTTAATCCTTGTTATTGATCGTATTGTTGAAATCTTTATTAAAGTCAAACTTTGTATTTGATTTTCACAAACTTCTGCACGTCAATTTAACTTTCTAGCATTAATAAAACTATAAACTTCCAACATAAATACGTTGCAATGAAAATTCTAGCACAACTTAGTTGTGAATATTGAGATAAATAAGCCAAACAGAATTCTTATGAATATTCAAAATAATTTTTTTCTTTTACTTCAATATTATTATTTGAGTGAACTTTAACACTTCAAGATGGAAACCGTCAACGATAATGAACTTTAAAATTGTCATTTGACATTTTCCAACACATTCACTTCACCCCCGTTTCCTTAGTTCATTTCAAAACTTTACTATCGAAGCAACAGTTGAGTTTTTCTTTTAACATTTCCCCCAGTCTCATGTTTCGGGGGAAAAATTTCTAATGTTGAAACATAAACCATAGCCGCAAGTTATTTATTTTGCTTATTTTCCGATAATATAGGAACTTGAACTGTGTGAGTTATAACTCAATTAACGAAACTAAGTTCATGAAGGAAAATTACAGAAAATTATAATAAAAGGAAATCTGTCTACACGAATGCAGCAAATGATTCAGAAACTTTTGTATTTTTTTTTTAATAATGATTGTGCGAAAGCTTCCGTAAAGGAAAACATAAAAATCGATAAGAAGGAAAAAAATTTGTGACGTCATAAACGTTGCGGACGGTGAAACAAACACGGAAAACATGATTGAAGGAGGAAAAGAAGAAGGAAAAATATCAACAGTTCAGATGATTCAGATATGGAGTTTGTCTCGTGTTTTATGACAAAACATTGTGAAAATAAATTTCTTTTGCGTACACATTCAGCCATCCCTTAATACGGAACAGTCAGCGAAAAGCATTTTGTTGTTTGTTTGCCATAGTCAGATGATACTTGAGCTTTTATGCTGTCAGTGAAATAGTAACTAGAACAGTTCTTCCACCGATTTTAGATATTCAATTTCTCTATTTTCATAGTTTACAAACGGAAATTCACGTTCAAATATGAGAGGCAAGAAACTAATTCTGTTAAAATGGATGAAAGTTCTTTTTTAATTCAACGACATTTAAGTAACAGAAAGTGAAACTAATAAGTTTTCATGATTCCCACAATTTGATTTCCCACTTAAAATTATGTTTTAGATTCGAATAGTTGAGCATGAAATTGTGAGTCAATTGACACGTCTGACGTTCAGCAGTATCAATAAAAAGAAATTTTCACAATGCATATTGAAATCTGAAATTTTTTTTCCACTTTCATTGTCTTCTGGTGTATTTACAGTATAGAAATAAACTTATATACTCATTCAAGAGCGAATATGTTGCCTGTCTTCATGTATTATTTCACACATAAATTGAATTACATTTGCGATGCGAATGAATTATTCACGAAATAAATTTTATCGGAAAAGTTTCGGAAAACGTTTTCTTTGCTGTTTTCAGTGGCAAATATTCAAACTCCCGCAGTAATTAGTTTAATTTTGTTGCCATTAATTTACTACCGTAACCTTCTACCTTCTATGTGTCTGTCGCCTAATGCCCATCTCTCTCCCCTCCATAGGTTGAAAGAAAAATGGTTGTTTATATGTAAGAAATGTTTTTCTTCTCTTTATTTAATACCGCATTGTGTAACAAATTAATTGACGCCCATGTTCACTTTTCGTTGTTATTATTTTTAACAAAAATGATTCGCAACGTGGGTGGAATGAAGTTCCAACAGAGAAATAATTTCTTATTATTATATTTGATGGAAAAAATCATTTTTCAAAACACGGAAAGCTAAAAGTGAAAAAAGTTTTAAGCTTGAAAATATTTTGTACGAATTTTTCCTCTGTTTAACTTGCTTTGCTTGTACCAAAAAAACGCACACCCCACTAATTGTACTGCCACTGATTACACATACAAAACATTTACCCTCGCATCGTATTCTCCACGCTCAAAAAAAATTTTTAACATTATTATTCGGATGCTGTACTGTCACAAAAAGCTTTTTTTATGTTCCGCATCCATCCGTTGTTTTAATGATGAATGTTTATAGCAACTTTTTTTTTCTCTTTATTATTCCATAGCTTGGCACTTTTCATCTCGTTCAACGAATATTCACAACAATTCCACGATTATTATTTCATGATGAAACAATTGTCTTCTCGCTAAGCTATGTAGTTGGAAGACATTGTCACCGTAATCAACGTTAAATTAATCTTTTCCTTTCAAGATTTTTCTTCATGCAATCTCTCATAGAATCACAACACAATATTAAAAGAAAACTATCAAATGTTGAAATATTTTTGGTAATTCTGTAACGAGAACCTCGACACAATTTCTTCTTTTCTCATTTTCTCTCCCTTTGCTTGCCTCAAGCCTACACAGAAAGCACAAAGCACAAAGAAAAAAGCTTTTTTGTGGCCATAAATATTTCACTTCAAAAGGAAAATTCATTAATCAAACATCTCCACTTTTTGCTATTCTACTGGATTTCTTTATTATTTTTTTCACATAGAAAACCAAAAGCAACAAATTTCATCTTGATGCCGATCGAGAATGTAGGTGAAGTAATGAAAAATCTTTTCTCTGCTCTTTTTAACACTCAACATAACAAAGAGAAAATTTTTCAACAACTCTGAGAAAAAATTATGAATTATTTATTTATACGGTTGCAAAAACGAATATTCTTGATTTCATTCGTATTCCTTTCTTAGTATTTTTTTTATAAAAGAATGAAAGGAAGAATTCTTTACTGGGGATGCGCAAAACTCGAATAACTGAATCGTCTCGTCGCGCCAATATCTGAATTTGCACTGACAAATTTTCCTGTTTTATCTGCTTTGCTGTTTTCTTCCATTCTCGCATACATGTTCGGGTGGCATTCGGAGGGGAATCGGTTGTATACACACGATGAATCGGGCTATTCGTGTTAGGAAAACAGCATGATGAAGGAAAAGAAAATGAATTTCTTTGCGATACTATAACTTTCCAAGGAACACCAACACAAAATTATCTCCATGATGTGATAAGAAGAAAAGAAGAAGATTATACTGATGGAATAGAATAACAAGGCAATTTTCGAATTTTCTTCTCTCTTCAAGCATCTGTTCGCAGAGAAGTTCAGCCTAACATGTGTGTAAGGAGACAAAATATGAATCTTTAATGATTCTGCGGAAACGGCAGATTTTTTTTCTCCCTTAAGTGTGGAGTAAAAAAAGAAATGAATGAAATAGTTTACCTGATAAGAAATAACATCTCTAATGCAACAGATGAAAACAGTAAAAAAGTAAACATTAAATATCAATTTTCCACGAGTTATGAGCTTTTCGGGATATTTCAAATATTTAAGGAGCAGAATATTGAATTTTCCTTCATTCCTTTAAGCGAATTTTCCTTAAGAAGTTTGTTTGTAGAAGAAACTTTACAAATATTTTTAGTTTGTTCTTGACATATGTTAAAAGTGGTTTCATGAAAGTGTCTAAACATTAACCAAAAGAATTTTCCTGGGAAAAGTTCATGCTGAAAACTTTCGCCTGAATGTTTGCAACTTGCCAAACATTTTAAGCAACGGAAAATTATTAAAAATAAATCGTCGAGCATGTAAAAGTTGAAGCTTCGTATATTTTACACCGGTACTCACTACTCAGATATTCATTTTCGTTTGTTGTTTCGATTTGCTTACAACTGATTTATTTACTCACTGAATCAGTAGACGTTCAAGTGTACGGTCGTGAATCCACTTCGAAAGTTTCGACTTTTCGCGATTTTTTATTTTTATTTGTTTCACATGAGTGGCACTTAAGTGACATTTTCGTTACGTGTCTTAAAGTTTACAATTACATATGTTGGTTATATGTGATGAGAAAATGATATATCACCGCTAAACAATTAATAAAGGTCTTTGTGATTTTATATCAAACAAATTTGTTTTCGAGCAGCTTTACAGAGAAAGAAAAATTTAATTTATTTTTAACAATTTTAAATGAAAGTGTCAAGAATCAAATTGCTGCCAAATTCCTTAAAATAAAGTCAGGAAATAATATGTGATCAGTGGAACCAATCGTCTTGTCAAAGTGTTCTATCTAATTGACGATAAATCAAAACTTGAGAGTGACATGGGCCAAATATTTGTTCACAGGCTCAAGATATTTGTCAAATAGATTTTTCTCACGAAATATATTAAGAAAATCAAGAAAATTGTCGTCTGATGTTTCGAGGAATTTGTTAAATATTAATAAGGTGAGAGAAGAAGTTGAATATGGCATGTGTGACGATTTATTATTTAAGTGGCGTTAAGGAAGTCGCTCATCTATTTGTTGAGTGTGATTCATGAATCATTTTTATTCCCATTTAACTCGATTACAAATGACAATGTTAACTTGTTTGAATAATATTTTTTCAATGCTTAAGTTCAATGCTCAGCCACAAATGGAATAGAAATTTATTTTCCCTTCTTGGGTCGAATTTAAGAAACCTTTTCAAAGGTTGAATTCTTGAAACCACAAACAACATAAACACGATTTTAAGTTCGGTGCTTTAAAGTCAACAAGTTTTTGTAATGTGAAAGTGGTGACAACGAAAAAAAATTGTAATTTCATTTCATTATGAAAGAAAGAGAATCGTCACCGTCCTTGCAGAAGGGCAACACATCAATCAAAACCTTTTTTTATTTCATTAAGATTACCACATAAACACGTCAATGATACTCATCATTATTCATATCTCACGATATTACCGACTCATTTGCTTATAAAAATATTTACAAATGACTTGGAAATCAAAAACTCTTAACTTTTAACTTGTCAATTTATTTTTTTAGATTTCCATCTCATTAATGTTTTTATGTGTTCCTTTTTTCCATAATCAGTCAATTACTTTATTTTACAACGTAAAAAAGAAAATGCAACAGCTGATTAACCACAGGAACTAACGAAATATTTATTATTAGATCAGGCGACGGCGTGTTTTCTTTATTATCCTATTAATAAAATCTAACACATGAATCACGATGAAACACGTTGATATAAAAACATGTCACTTTTACAACTTTCAGATGTAAAATATTTAAAAGTGTCGAAAGGTGAGAAATCCTAAAACATTTAGCTATGCAAAAATAATGTCTTGATCTCAATGTAGAAATATTTTGTCCCATTTTCATTTTATCAAATATAAATAGAAGAAGTTTGATGTCATTTTTAAGATTTCTTCATGAATGTTCAACATTCATAGTACAATAAATTGTGCGAAGAATATGTAAAGATTTTAGAGCTGCCAATCAGCTGACTACTAAATGTGAGATCATTTACCTGACACTAACTTGAAAGAATTTGCAAGGTCGCTTTGTAATGGCTATAATAAATAAGCTACGTGATGAAAACAATTGGTTGTCTTCGACACATAAGAAAGTTATTTTAAGTAAGAAAAGGAACCGTTAGATGATCGAGGGTCACGCAGAAAGTATTGGAAACATTAGCAGAAGAAGAAGCTGTCGAAATATTTCAAATCATCGCCACAAGCCATTAATTATCGTATTATTTAAGAACCTTAGTTTCCTACATGAAAATGAATCATTTTGCTAGAAATTGCCATCAACTCTGGTTAAAATTCAAGTAAATTTCCATTACATTATTGCAAATAACAAGTTTTTATTTTCAAACACGTTGTCATTGCGTTAAAACTTTCAATGTTTATCTTAAAATGTTAAACATAACTGCAAATGTTTAGTAAAATTTTTAACGTCTTGATCATGTAAGAATTTAATTACTAAAAAGTTTCTTCAATTTTTATCAATGTTTGATTCTTTTTTTCCTATCAAAATTGCGCGCATTTATCATACAAACACGATTCGTAAATAATGCAAATTGAATAATTCGCAATGTTATTGAAAATTATTGTGAATGTGCTGATCATTGAATTAAAAATGCACCACTTCATTATTATTGATTGCTTTGAAAAGTGAATTTATGAACAATATTGAACATTTTAATTGTAATTGCGTGGGAGGATAAGTGGAGCTTTCTTTGTTTGAATTTGCATCATTAATTATACCAAAAATTTAATTGATACTTGCTGAATTTTGAGTTTCCAGAAATAAATTTTCCAGTGTTTGTTCATTCTTAATAGTTGTTCGTCATTCATAAGTTTGTGATGAAAGTGTTAATTGTTTGTTGTTCAACATCCTAATTCAGAATAAATATCAATTTACTTAGTGATATTCTCGATATTGTCAAATGTTTGTTGACCACGCAAATGAAAAATCTCATTAAATCAAGGAAATGGACAACATTGTTGTCATTTTATTTATTTAATCATGTCAGAAATCATTTCCTGGAAAAAAAACATCCACATAAAGCACGAAATTTTCTTGTTTGATGTTTGAGATTATTTTGTGGTTTTTAATCATATTTGAGGCGTAAATTTTAATTACGACCATTCCTCGATTTATAATTCTAAAGCAAGATTGACGAAAATCACGATTGCTTTTTATTGTTAGTCGTGATTTTATTGTCCAAGCAACTTGCTTTAGAACTTGAAGTTTTCATTTCTCTTCTTCATTCCAAAAGTTTATTGTAAGAACTTTAAGAAAATTTTAAATTTTTATTTGGTGAAAATTGTGCAGAAAATTTATTTTATTATTTTAAGTTAAAACTTCACCATTCTCTGCATCTCAGTCCATTAAGTTTGTGTTTTGAAAAGCTTTTAAGATAAAATCAATGATGCACTCAATCGATATGTTTACAAGAAAGTTTCGGTTCCCTTCATGAATTTATTTTGGCAGCAGATGTTTCAACTTTATGAAAGTGTATGTGAAATGTTTACTTTGAAACTGAAAGTCGTGTCAATTTTTCACTTTTTTAGTCTGGAATAAAACTTCAATTCATTTAGTTGTTTCTTAAAGATAATTTTTCACAGCAGAATGAAATTTTTCATGGTAAAGGCATTTATAATTTTGATAATACTGAACATTGTGTATTGCGTGGACGAGAATCAGAATGTAAATGATGTCATAGACATAAGCATAGAACCAGACACTCCAAATCCAGACAGCTCAAGTTCTCCAACTGATGATGATGATGTTGATGAATTTCCATCATCTTACGGGATTATTGATGCATTAAAAAAGTTTTTGAAACATGTCTTTAAAGTGGCTATGAAATTTGTCGAAGATATTCCTTCACTATTTTAAAATAAAATCGATTCAAAATTTATTTTCAAATAAATACCTATCAAATATGAAAAAAATATTCAAATGAGAATTTAAACGAGTTTCTTAAATACTTTTATAATTCGTTCATAACAATAAGAAATTGTTTTCAATGTGAAATAATGAAAAGTAGGAAACTTGAATGATAGCAAACATGCAAACGTGGCATTATTTCTAGTTATCGTAATCATCTGTTAATCTCAAATAGAAATCATTCGTCATAAGCAAACTTTCCAGAACAGTTCAGATATTCACATGGCGTGTCTAGATTGTCTTATAAAATTAAAATGCTGCACAAAAACGATGCAATTCGTTTGACAAAATTATACGCTTTTTTATAAAGTGTAGAAAATTCGAAACATTTGTTTGTAATTGTCAACAACAAAGCTTTACCTGCAAACTTTCTGCAATTAATTAACAAATACTACATGAACGTGAAATTTGCTGTTGAAATAATAAAATCTTTTTTACTTTATAAACTAATTACAAATAATTGTAAGCTTGACTGATGCGTGGTTGTGAGAAAATATTAGACAGACAACAATCGCTTTGTTCAGTTAGCTTTTATGACAAAAGAAGATGAAAGCATTTGTTACCGATTGTGACTTTTATAATGAAATAAAATAATTACCTAAGTGGCTGTTGTAGTTGAATGTCATAATTAAGCTTTAGAACGGAAAACATTTGAAATATGTGTCAATTTCTTTGTAGTTTTCTGTAGATAAGTAGGTAGGTAGTAAAAAATTCATAAAATTTTACTTGAAACCGAAAATAGCGAGGACACATGTTGAACAAAGCTCTGCGGAGAGTATGAGAACTAAACATTCTAATCTCCCGGTTTTTTGTAAGCCCTAATTATTCGTGTTTTTATGTTTGTTTTGTGAATATTCTCGAGTGTTTGTCTTCTTTCGGTCTTCTCTACACCTTTTTAAACTCATAATCATTAAAAATGCATTCCAAAATGTTACAGAAGCAATGTCTGAGCAAGGCAAAAGGATCTTTGCGTCATCTGGAATCTCATCATCACTTGACACTGTGTTAGCAACAACTTTAGGATCAAATTATCATAATAGACTGACAAATTGCAAAAAAAGCAATTCAAACTTGATAAGTGAAAAAAGTTTAAGTAATAACTCATCGAAAAGTTCAAGTGGTTGCAGCTTGTCATTAACAAACCATACTATCAATAATAGTGTCAATAACAATTCAACTTCAAATCAATTCCCGCATCACCAATTTTATAGTAGTCAAATTTCAACGTCAGCCAACTGGAGCAGTAATTACAGCTCAAAAAAGGTAAATATTTTTAATTTTAAATCAATAAGTTATCGTTTTTCGTCCCTCACAAACTGGAATCGAGTTGCGAGTTAATTTTCACTTTGTTCACATTGATTGCTTGCGTAAACAATTAATAAATACTCACAGACGATTACTTCATAGTGATTTCAATTTGCGTACGACAATGAAGAATAAAATCTATACAAATACTAAGAAGATGCTGTTAACGTTTGTAAGTGGTGAGAGAAGTCGAGTCATCACCATGAAATGTTTATAAGTAAATAATTTTGAGAGTCAGACAAGTAAATGAATTAATGAGATTAATAGAATAAATTAATTTTCTAGACATTTTGATAGTGATCGTTATTGGTGAGTTAAGATTCTAATTGATGACTTATTTTTTAAGATAAACTGACAAACAAATCTTTTCTAAAGAGTATGAAAAGTAAGAGAAATGTTTCTCATTTATAATTGTTTAATGACTGGCGTCGAACGATCTTAAATGACTGTTATTTAAATGCTAATCAAATGATTATTAGTAAGTTATTGAATTATAGCAAAACGTGACAACACAAACTCGACATTGTTGTTTAACATAGAAAACTATTTTCATTGATAACTTAACGTTTTAAAGTTTCAATGTGAGTGTAACATAAGATTTTATCGAGAACATAACGTTTGACAGCCTTCTCAATCGTGCTCAGAAAACATTCAACTTTTCTACTTCCCTTTGTGCTGTTTTTTATTTTGCGAGAGTCAAACTTTGGTCATTGACGGTGAGTCGAGTTTGAAGTTCAGTTTAGAGCGAACCTTTAAATAAATCGAACTCGTTTTTAGTGCTTCATTCATTTTACATTAAAATTGCCAGTCTGTTCACTTGTTATTGTTGATACGAATACAAAATGTTTATCACAATGTAAAGAATTGTCATCGATCAATCACGTTTAGTGTGCGTTGTTAAACATCTTCAAATTGGACATTTTCATTTCAACCGCAGTAGATATTCGCGGAAATTCGTGAGCAGACGTGTCTCGAAAGTGCTTAAGAAAATATCGTAGCAATCGCGAAATTAAAGTTCACTTCTCTTGTTCAATGTCAAGTGTGAGCGAAGAAAAAAAAATACACAAAAGAATGTGGAAAAAAGTGCTTTAAAATTATTTTCTCAATGATACAGTGAATCGTGATTTGTTGTCTTTACAATTTATGTCGATTTTGATTATTTTATCACGCCTGCTACACATTTTCGATATAAAATCAAAAGTTAAACAATTCAAATCAAAATATTTCACTTCTTACCTTAAAAACACATTTCAAAGTTTAAGAAATTACTTGGCAACATTGCGCTATTTGCAAATACTTTAAAGTATTCATTAGTACTGTGAAAATTGAGTCACGAGGACTTCAAATCGTTGAGTGAAAACTGAAAAGTTTTTCTTTTCTTTCATTTTTGCTACCATAAAATCGTGACATTGAACATGAAATTTAAAACTCATAAAAAATATTTTTTGACTTTTGCAAAACGATATCAGTGAAAATTGTTAAAAGAAGAAGTAAAAAAATATTTTACGCCTACACGAAAGAAGAAGAAAAAAGAATTAAAACAAGACAATAGACCGGTGATAGAAAAAACAGAAACAAACTTAATTAATTTTAATTTTCCACTCGTGAGAGATAAAGAGAATCATGCATTTTCCGCTCACTTGTTCTGATTCCGATTTGTGTTTAAATAAATTAATTCAACCACCACAACCACAACAACAACCGCCTCTAGAAGTCGGGGAGAAATTATCGAACAAAACTGATCGTTTACTTATCGAAATTGATGAAAATCTTGAAACAAGTCGCGACAATTTTCTTTTGAGTTCAGCAACACAATCGAACGGCAGTGCTCGTATTGTGCCTGCAACCACTCAACGACCAACTCCTTCCATCTCTTCTGGAGGTGGAAAAAAGCTTCGATATCAAGTGGAAAACGATAACTTATTGTTGTTTAGTAAATTCTTTAATCGTACAACATCAAATATTTCACAACCACAGAGAAGACCGCCAGGATTGGGCAGCAACTTAATCATGTCACAAACAACCGACGAATTCCATTCACCAAATTATTTATCATGGCGAAAACTGCAGTTAAGTAGGGCGAAGTTAAAAGCATCAAGCAAAACATCTGCCTTGTTGTCAGGATTTGCTATGGTGAGTATTTCGATTTTCCTGCTTCCGCTTCGTGATCTTGAAAAACGAAAACAAGAAATTTTTTATGTTCAAAAATATTTCACATGTGTTGCCAGAAGGAAATTCGTAATGAATAAAAATCTGGCAGCTCACACTTTAAACACGAACACAAAGTCATAAAATAAATTTGACTCACGACAATGAATTAAATTGCATTGTCGGCTGTCGTGCTTTGCACACATTTAAGTTCAACAACAGAAGAAGTAAAATTGTGTGAAAATGTTTTGGTAAATATTTAAATTCTCGTGTAAATAAGAACGAAGTTATTTAAATATCATAAACCAAACTCTTTGAAGCATGTTTATGTTGTAAATAAAAATATTTCCTTTTCTCTCTCTCTTCGATTCCAGGTGGCAATGGTGGAAGTTCAATTGGATAACGACACAAAAGTGCCGATTGGAATGCTTATCGCCTTTTCTGTTTGCACGACACTCCTTGTTGCCGTTCATATGTTGGCTTTGATGATAAGTACCTGCATCTTACCGAATATTGAGACTGTTTGTAATCTCCACAGTATATCGTTAGTACATGAGTCGCCTCACGAAAGACTTCATTGGTGAGTGGCAAATTTAATAAAATTTTCTGGCAAATTTAATAAATAAATTTATGTTTACAGGTACATCGAAATAGCGTGGGCGTTTAGCACATTAATTGGATTAGTGTTGTTTCTAATCGAGATTGCAATACTTTGTTGGGTGAAGTTTTACGATTTGTCACAAGCAGCTGCGTGGTCGGCTTGCATTGTTCTTATTCCCGTACTGATAATTTTCTTAGGTTTGCTGATTAATTTAATTTCATTGAATATTTTAACAACTTTTTTTATTTAATTTTAGCATTTGCAATTCATTTTTATCGTTCATTGATGACACATAAATACGAAGTGTCAGTTTCGGGTATTCGTGAATTGGAAATTCTTCGTGAACAAATCGAGCAGGATCATCAAATCAACGACCAACAACGTCAACGAAACATCAACGGCTTCAATTATTCAACAGCTGGGACTGAAGTTGTTTAAAGGAACCGAGATTGATATTCGATGATGACTTAAAATTCACTCAACTACTTAAATTATTTTACTTAATCTCAAAAACATCAACAAATCGTTTCAACGATTTTTAAAGGTTTTAGAAAGAAAAATGAAATCTCCAGAAATAAGTGATATTAAAGAAAGAAAATTTTAATCTTCAACGAGAAATAAAAGTCGAATCCACCAATTGATTAAATAAAATTGAAATCACGTCAATTCGACCACAAACTTATTTATTTTTTATCACAATTTTAATTTACAATAAGAAGAATAAGAAGAAAGTTTTTTATAAACATGAAAGCATAAAAGATCCGTAAGAAGTTATAATTATTTAATCCACAAGTCAATAAACTTTAATTCGTTTTCTTCATTCCCGTCTTTTATGTTAAACGAATGATAGAAGAAAAGAATAAAAAATGGAAAGTTTTTAAAGAAATGTTTTCATCATTTCAATTTAAAATGTTGCATCACGACCAACAAACTCGTAGAAATCCATTTCTTCCAGATTTATTTGAAGATTCATGTCATCAGATGTTGAAGTCTTCAATTGTTTGTAGAAACATGTGACACCTTTCTCAATACTTTGAAATTGAATGGACTCAAGCTTTGGTAAGTTCACAATGGAAAATTGTAAGATTTGTTTACTCAACTGTCGAATCTTGAAGCTTTTAAGATTTGGTGTAGCTCGAAGGAACGTTAAGACGTGACACGATGGGTTGAGGTAGAAATTGATCTCTTCAATCGTTTGATTAATTGGAAGCACACGATTGCACATCGCACCTTTGAAACTGCACTCCATTATGAAAAGTTTCTTAAAGCTTCCATCACTCCAAAGATCTAAGAAGACCTCGATGTCTTGAAGACACAACACTTTCAACCATTCGAGACTCTTCTGATATTTCACGAACTTCACAAAGTTCGCCTTCACCTTATCTGTAAAGCTCGAACTTGTTTTTCCAAATGCAAAAGTTTTTAGATCAAGATGAATATTTTGTGTCAAGTCCGATTGAAATGTACAATCGATTTCACACAGCCAAAGACTTTCAATCTGACGATTTTCTCTGAGAAAATCATGAATGATGTTTGTAGGAACGAGAAATTCTGTTAACACTTCAGCACTGAACGAAAGAAGAACTTTTGTGAGTTTTGGATTTGATCCCAGGAATATTGAAAAAGCTGATCGATCAACGACAGTTAATTGAAGTTCCTTGAGCTTTGGGAAATTAATTGCTTTATATTTAGCTGGCTTCGTAGTTGAAGCTTCACCTGGATGTAATTGCTCAATTGTCGGTGCCATTGACATCATGAACTGCACGTAATCTTCGTGTTCTATCTCCTCGTTGTGATTGTCTGTAATCATCGCAATCTTTGGTCTAAATTTATTTATAACCTTGGCGAGTTTCGCCCTTGACCCAGGTTGAATGCGGAAATTCTCATATTTTCTTGCTGACCTTTCAAGAACATTAATTTGAGTTGATGGATTGTCGATGTTCAACCAAATGTGTTGCATGCATTCACTAGACGATCCAATAGTTTTGAACCACAATTTTGAAACTAATGAACTTTTAATGACATCAGTGGCATTAAAATGTTGAAAAATTAAATCGTGGACGTCTGCAACTAAAATCCCAAATGGATCCATTAACACTTTTTCTAATTTTCAATTCAACTTTATATTAATTCAGCACAAATCTTGAGGAACTTGCTTCGAATCGAAATGAAATTTCACTGAACTAAAATGTTACGTTTCTCGAAAAACCTTTTTATTGATGATGTCGTCAGCTGACGCGGATAATTCCAAACCAGTTTTTTTCTTCTTATAAAAGTCTGTTTTCCTACTATCGCGCTCAATGACAACGAGAATATGAGCGGCGAGCATTTGCTTCGTTTCATTTCATTTGGTCTGAGAATAACTAACCGAAAGACGTGCGTGTTGAGTTTGAAAACAGTTTTTTAATTCGTTTCTACACGAGTTCTTAATTGTGTTATGTATGCTCAGCTTTATAATTATTTAAGCTTTATATTTATACACAACATGCATTACAATAAGAGAAACAAACACTTGCAGAGTTGTTTAGTTTGGGAACTTTAGATTTATAAATATTTTTGACTTTGTAAGCATTGAGAATGAAGCTTAGAATCAACAAGTTGTTCGTAATCTTCAAACAAGTAATTTTGTTTTATTATTTTAAGTTTTTCAATAAGATTTGTTTATGTTCTCGAAGGCATGAACTTTTGAAGTAAATATAATTAACTAGTCGCGATCAAACGTTTATCAATTCAAATTTCATTAAACTTCACCACAACCCGGCATTTATTAATTGTTCAACATAATCACGTCACTCAACTTATAAAGAGAGAATTTTAAGAGAATTCTGCAAACATTCTCTTCAAACTTGATTGTTAGTTGCTGTCCTAAGTAAATCGTTCATTATATTGTCTGTCGAGTTCATTCGTTCTGCAGCTTTCGAATACTAAAATAAATTTTTAGTTTTTTCTAATTTTTTTATAATTAACTTTGATTTGCTGTTTTTCAACTTGATAAGCCGGTAAAGATAGTGAATGAATTGTTTCAAGATGATAATGGCACATTCATTGGGGTTGTAATTGAAAGCGGAAATATATGAACAACTATTTTTTTAATCTTTAAGCCCTTCATTTATTTCTTGAATATCTGAACTAGGTAGGAACTAACTAAGCAACAATTCGCATGGGTCGTACGAGGTCCTTTTTGAGTTTGTTAAAATTGGCCCAGAACGGCCCTTTTTCTGGTTCGTAACAGATCCGTTCTCCTGAAAGCCCTGGAAAGCTCGTTGAAAGCCATTTTCAATTTATTTTTATGAGCTCAAAGTTATTGTTTTCAACTTTGCACACATTTACTCAGCTGAAAGCAGAAATGCTAAAATTATTATTAAAAATATGTTTTTTAATATCATTTTCAGTTTCTTCGTGTTTAAGTATTCTGTTCAAATTTGAAGTTCTCAAATTGTAAATTCAAGGCAAAACAAGACGATCTCACTAATATCTGTTGATCTTTAAGATATGTTTTCCTGAAAATATNACGACGACTCTTAATACCTTGTAAATGCTTCCTAAGTGTTTCACAAAAGATATCAAATAAAAAAATACCTAAACAGATTTTGCTACGGAATTGATTCAAAGCAAATAACCTTTTCCTTTATTAAAATACTTTCTTGCAATACTAAAGGATTGATTAAATCTAAATATAAACTTTGAAATATTGGAATAAAATTCATGGGAAAGGTATTGAAAAATTGTTGACTTTAAGTTGGAGGCATTCAATAATGAAAAGATATTCCAATGAAAATTTTTTCTAAGGACGAGATGAAAGAGTTCATCATCATCATCATCAGAGTAGGGAGTGCACGACTGTACACTAAAGCGATTAAGAATACAGGAATATAAATTCCAACTTGTTTCGCTCCCTTTGTCTCATCACCTGAATGATGAAGGTTCCACTTTCAGTAGCGTTCCACAGGATTGTATATTCCTGAATACTCTTCATTGTTCATATTTGACAAATTTATATTTTTATCAAATCTGATACAAAGAGACATTTCAGTTTATTATATCCTAGTGAAAAATTCCACTTTAAATGAAACAGGGGCGAAGTATCTAAACTTCTGAAAACCTCAGCCCAAGTGACCACCACCGAGAATGGAACCAGGATCGTACCGATTAGTGAATCGATACGAATTCTGATACAAATCCGATGGCACAGACACTTAGGCCAATGAAGCAAATTTGCCCCCTGACGTTCGATAAACCCAATAAATGTATATTTCAATACATGTCAAATTCATTTAAACAGTTCAACATGCATATTTTAAAATTTATAGAAGTGACGGTTAGTGGTAGGTAAATATAATGGATGACAAAAATTACTTCTTTATTGGAAATTTCTCTATTTATGGCACTAAATAGATCAATTTATTTAGTGCCATAAATAGCGAAATTACCAATAAAGAAGTAATTTTTGTCATCCATTATATTTACGAACCACTAACCGTCACTTCTATACATTTTAAAATTGTCTAAATCACAATATTTGAAACAAATCTTCCTATTTCGCCATAATCAAACAAAAGCTTGATAACATTGTCATTTAAATAGCGAATAAATCCTGGAAAATGTAGCAAGTACTGATAAAAATTTCCATATTTTCATTTCAAAATATCGATTTATTTCATAATCTTCTTTGACAATTTATGGAGTTATAAATCCTGTAGTTTCATCGGTTTTAGTCTTAGTCATCAATGATCCTATGTACATTCTAATTCTGCTTGATCACACATTATTTCTGGACGGCCGTTAAATTCAGTACATTCACAAGAAAGACATGGATAATTATCAACAGGAACTTTTTCACCAAGTTTATAGATACCCTCACAACAATTCGTCTTACAAGACACTTCTCCATATTCATCACAGTAACAAGATTTACATGGATCATTACTAGGAACGTCGGCGTAAAATTCATAATCTGTGCCACCAACCCTACAACCACAATATATGATTTCAGGACAGCATCGACCAGGCGGAATTTCAGTGACACATCCTTGTCTTACGTCATTACCGCATTCTTCCCACGAACACATTGATTCTGGACGGCCGTTAAATAGAGCACATTCACAAGAAAGGCATGGATCATCAACAGGAATATCTTGACCAAGTTCATAGATTTCGTCATAAATATCACATCCTTGCTGCGTAGGGAATCCAACAAAACAAGAATCTGCACACTCCAATCCATTTTCAGAACAAAAACAGGTTTTACAAGGATTTTTTTGCGGTACAGAGGCCCCGATAGGATAGAATACGCCATTGTCTGTACATCCTGGAACAGGCTCACATTCTTTGTCAAATAAGATTTATTCATTAGTTTTGTTAGAAAATCCAAAAAAATAAAATTTTCCTTACTTTGTGAACTTGAAGAAGCTATTGAAAATAAAATTGAAACAATTTCACGAATGAGACGTGTGTTATTTTCAGCTTAGTGATTAAATGCTCACCTGTTGAAACAAATGTTATGACTATCAAAAAAACTGAATTTTTCGCGATCATTTTTATTTCTTACGAGGTTTAATTTTTGAAGTCAAAATGAAGGATGAGTTAGAAAACTCTAAGAATACCTTCTTTATACTTAATTCTTATCAATATCGCCTTATTTTGATGAGAAACTTCTCTGAGTAATGAGAAGTAATAAAGTTCGTNCTCGGACATCATGTGTGATTCGATTTCAACAGGTGAGTGAGCATTTGCACTGAATTTTGATGTACATAAATGTTCTGCTTGTGATGATTGAGAACATTCTGATGATTGCGAAAATGAAAATAAATCTTCTTGAGAACGTGCGTCTTTTTCTGGTGGAGACAGTGTGGATGCTTCGCTGATACATATCATCAAACGATTAATGAGATTTCGAGAACAATTAACGCTTGCGTCGTAGTTCATTTTGATTTCTGCATCAATGTTGACATTGGATCGAAACAAAGCAGAAAAATCTTTTAATAAAGATTCTTGAGTGCTTGTGACCACTTCAAGAAGAACTTCCATTTGTTCAACTGTTGAGTAGTTGGACGAGTTGAAACATTTTTCATGAAACTCCAACTCGCTGCATGACATTTCAATGAGCAGTTGAATTTCAGTTGTGTTTGTCATTTCCAATGCGTTTTTGTACAAATGAGTGTGTGCGCTGTGTGAATGTGTGCGTATGTGTGAGTGTGTGAATTTTCAAAAAACTTTCAAGGTGACCAAAGGTGAATCAATGATGACTACTTTCTTCTCAAATAACAAATGAAGTTTCTTCCAATAAGCAAAGTTTTGAATGCACCGAAATTGTGTGCCAGAAGGTGCCAGAAAGTTCTTCTGCGAGACTGTGAAAGCGTGTGTAAATCTCCAAAAGACTTCCGGTTGAACCAAGATGGCTGATAAATTGTGCTTAAATGTTTCAGATGAATCCGGGTTGTATAGGACCAAAAAGTGTTCGGCAGAAACACTATAATTAATGTAGAGAAGTGGACTGTAGTTTGTGAGGGTTCTGCTTATCGGAAGAATTGAAAACACTTGACAATTTCACTCATAAAACAATTTATTTGTGAAACAATATCGAAGAACAATTGAAGGTGAACGAAAAACCCTAAAACAATGTTTGTGGCTTGATTATGATTGTAATGTATAAATGTTGTGATTTGTTACCTTTCGGGTTCTTAATTCTATGTGTTTAGTGTTGGTTGATCGAAAGTAAGTGTGATTGGTAAGTATTTGAAAGTTTGGCGTGCCTAAATGTTTAACAATAAGAAATTTTGTTTGATTGTTTTGTGTGTTTGTCTCACCATAAAAATGATCAATAAACGGCAAGTTTAATTGATCTTCACTAACTTTAAACAATGTTTGATTGATATAAAAACTAAATAAAAGAAATAACTAAAATAATTGCACAAAATTACAAAATTATTAATTATTACTTGGAGTGCGTCGTCTTGCTTTGATGAAATTTACTTTTAAATGAACAAAATGATCTTCACAATTTAATGAACTAAGATCTGAACTTAACAAAATAGCGCGAATTTCAAAATGCAAATCTTTGCGAGATAAAATCATTTGACCCGGTGTTATTCTGGTTTCACCGAAAATATTACAAAGTTCGAGCAGAACAATCTTTAAGATATCTTTTTCTGCAAATGTTTTCACAGGTGAAATTAATGGAGTCGTCATGCAGAAGTTTTTCGATAAAGCCAGTATATATGTAAAATGACAAATTCATTTGAACAGCTCAACGTACATTACAATTTTAGTGATTGATCTATTTAGTGTCCTAATTAGAGTCTTTATTAGTGATTTTTGTCATCCATTATATTTACGAAACACTAACCGTCACTTCTATAAATTTTAAATTTTTCTATATCAAGTATTTGAAACAAATCTTCCTATTTCGCAATAATCAAACAATAGTTCGAAAGCATTGCGATTGAAATAGCGAATTAATCCTGGAAAACGTAGTACTGATAAATAATTCATATTTCTATTTCAACATATCGATTTATTTCATAATCTTCTTTGACAATTTCTGGAGTTTATACAGTTTCACAACCGAGTGCCTGATAATCAGGACAACAAGCACCAGGAGAGGGTTGCGCATTTTCACACCCTGGCGGTGGGGCTAAAGCTAAACAAGAGTTATAGTAACAAGAAACGGGGCCCCGTGCTTCACAAGCACAAGTTACGCATGGATCTTTATTAGGAACATCATCACCGATTTTGTAGACTGTACCATCATCATCATAACAACCACAATATAAAACATCAGGACAACATTGACCAGGAACATCTTGGGTGACGCATCCTCGTAATTCACCTTCCAGATCGCAATCAGTTACCACACAGGAAAGTTTTGGACCCTTGTCGTATGCTAAACAAGTACAATTAAAGCATGGAGTATTATTAGGACTTTCTTCACCAATTTTAATGATTGCGCCATCAACCTCACAACCACAATATAAAATTTCGGGACAACATTGACCAGGAACATTTTGAGTGACACATCCTGGTGGTGGAGCATCACAAGACATATCGTTACAAGAAACGGTGTCCCGTGCAACACAAGCACAAGTTAAACATGGATCATTATCAGCAATTTCTTCATCAACTTTATAGATTGTGCCATCAACCTCACAACCGCAATATAAAATTTCAGGGCAACATTGATCGGGATTATTTCGAGTGACACATCCTGGTGGTGTGGGTGAACAATCATGCACCACACAAGAAAGATTTGGACCGTTATCTGATTCTACACAAGTACAATTAGTGCATGGAGTATTATCAGGACTTTCTTCACCAATTTTAATGATTGCGCCATCAACCTCACAACCACAATATAAAATTTCAGGGCAACATTGATCGGGATTATTTTGAGTGACACATCCAGGTGGTGGAGCATCACAAGCAATTTCTGCACACTCCAATCCATTTTCAGCACAATAACAGGTTTTGCAAGGATTTTTTTGCGGTACCGAGGCCCCAACAGGATAAAATACGCCATTGTCTGTACATCCTGGAACAGGCTCACATTCTTTCTCAAATAAAATGTATTTATCAGTTTTTTTAGAAAATAAAGAAAATCAAAATTCTTACTTTGTGATGTTGACGAAGCTATTTAAAATAAAATTAAAATAATTTCACGAATGAGACGTGAGTTTTTTTTCACCTTGGTAAATAAGACCTCACCTGTTGAAACAAATGTTACCACTATCAAAACTACCGAACTTTTCACGATCATTTTCATTTCTTACGAGGTTTAATCTTTGAAGTTCGAAATGAAGGATGAGTAAAAAACCTTAAGAATATCTTCTTTATACTTATCAAAAATCAATATCGACTCATTTTGATGAGAAAATTCTCTGAGCAATGAGAAGTAATGAAGTTCGTGCAGAACGCACAAATTTTTCGAATAAAGTTATACATTGACAGATATTTACTAAAAAAAGAAAGAAGTAATAAGATCAAATTTCTCTCAATTTCTCAAGATGATAAATATATGTACTCGACTTTATACGACGCAATTAGATCGCTTATAATTTGATTGATCAATTGATCAATTGCATTCTTACCAAAGTTGGTAGAATACTTTATCTT